ACTGGACCTTCCTGTGAGAGGTCTGCCTGCACATGAGGTCTGTAAAGACCACAGCCTTTGTAGAAGAGAGCCCCTTGCATGTTCACAACATCCCCCTCTCAGCATGGAGAGGCAGATTTGCCATGACCATTTGCTGGTGAACTCTCTGGGGACTCTCCTAATGAGAATGAGCAAAGGAAATACGCTACGTGCCATTACTTGAGAGGCCTGATGCGGGTGGCAGGGTACAGGGAAGAGAAGGGCAATTGATTTTTCTGCCTAACTTTGTTTGTGGAAGAGCAAATCCTCACACTATCAATTCAGAGATGCTTAAAATAGTCTACAGGATGAATCACACAGCTGCAGGCCTGTCTTCAAGACAGCTACATTTCCCTAAATATTCCCTATATATTTGCCATAAAGCAAACTTCTCCAGATATGGAGTCTACCCTCTTTAGAGGATTCCAGAAGGAAAAGCCTTATTTTTTTCTTAACCTTTGAACAACAAGTTCTTCACGTACTTCTAATTGTAACTACATATTGTAGACTGAAAACGTGATAGATGTCTTCAGTAGCATCCTAAGTTCACACTGAAAAGTTAAGAGGCTTGATTCTGAGAAGAGCAGAACCAAGAACATTAAGCTCTTTTCAATGAACTCCAAAGGGAGCAGCTGAAAAGCTGCATTGTAAATGCAGGCTCCTGACTTCAGGCATACACATCTGGTCTTGTCCCAGCCACAACTAAAGCACAGGGGCTGTTTTGATACTGCATTGTGCTGGATAAATACACCATGTTTTACCACGGTGGAGAGCTTGTTAACAAAAGCAGATACTGCCGTTAATATTCATGTTGGGTTCTTTGGCTGCATCCTCCCATGAACCTGCAAAGTGATTACACCCACCACAACTTCTACTAACAGCAGGATGCTCCAGGGGGTTTACCTTAGCTTGAACACATGCTTTTTCTTCTTATAATCGACCGCTATTTCACAGACCGCTTCCTTCAAGCTGACAGGAATCTCATTGTGGTAGGGGATACCAGAAGCAGCAGCTTTTGAATCCTTGTAGAAGCCCATCTCTTGGTTGTTTATGACACAGTACACATTATGCCATGATCTTCAAGACACAGAAAACAACAGAAGTGTTTATAAATCTAATGCCCTTACTTGCAGAAGTGGAGAAACCAAATACAATTACTTCTGTAAGATAATTGGGACGGGTTCAGTGTGAGGATGTGAATACAGCCTGCACTGTCCTGTCAACTGCAGACAGCAAATTCTCTCACAAAAGCACAGCTTCAGGACAAAAACACTGACTTTGAGCCAGACGGAATAGAGATTTCCAGAGCTCCCTGCGACAGTACATCAGCATAGCCCAACAGTGGGAGGCCTGTTAGGCAGACTGGGCAGTTTCCATAGTTGGGAGAGACACTGATTGACCTTTCAATGACTCTGCTTTATTGTAGGAATTCTCTTTGTGCTGCAAACTAACAAATGGATTGCATGCGAGTGAAATCCTGGCTTGGTACAAATACTCTTGGTGGCAGCATCTGCCTCATTCTCTAATACAGCTTGAAGAATCAATGATTACTAGAAACAAGAGTCCCTGCGTGTTAGTATTGGTGGCTGACAGTGCCTCAGAGTAGTTCTCTGGTGTGAACGGCTAAAGCTGAACAAAAATCAGGTAGCACAGGTGGTCTGCACACTACTTCACCTCCTATCAAATCCCTCAGATACTGGTATGGTTCACCACTTGCTAGTCAACACTTTCCTTGTCAGCCAAGCCATTAAATCTGGTTTCAAGAGCTCTCTCAGGTCAGAAATGACCCTGGTCTGCTTTTCCAGTGCAGACAGAAACCTCAGCAATTTTGCATCTTTCAGAATGGCAGGATTGGGCCCTTAGGAATGGAATCAACTAAGGCACACAAATCATCTTCACCCGCTTTTCTCTTCTGCACAGCTTACAGAGTAGGTGGAAAGTGCTAACATGCAAACAGAAAATGTCAGAAGAATATGGACATTTCTAGTCTCACACCTACGTGTTTTTCTTTTCTTGAGAGCTCTGGATTCAAATCCCACTACTGCCACAAATTCACCGTGCGAAGTGGGAAAATCATGGTATCTTTATGCCTCAGTTTTCCACCTTCCAAATATGGCTAACACTGCTTTCTCCACCATGTATCTTTAGACTTCCATCAAATACACCATTTAACCACAAATGCAGTTCCTACAACAACAGGAGCAGAAGCTTGAGAGGTCTTTAGGAGCTGTGAGAGAACAACAGCAGCAGGGACCACATTTACTGTTTTACATCTTGGTGAGTTCACATGAGGCAGCAAGGACTTTACCTGCTTGAGGCTTTCTTGCTGTGTGTCTCCCATTCATGTTTGCGATGTAAGAAGCCCTCCATCTGAGCTGAAGGCATCTCCTGTGTTTTGGCTGGTAGGGTAGCAGCAGTCTGGGCCTGAATGGCAGCCTTGGCTTTGCGGTCTGCCGTTGGAGATGGAACAGGACTAGACTCTTTCGAACTTGTCCTTTGCTCTGCAGCTCCATTGACCATTTCGTTTGTATCTGCAGTTTCTGCCACCTAAGGAACAGTGAAGAAAATGTTCAGCTCAAAGCCTCACAGCACTGGGGTATCTTGCAGTTAATCTGTTTCCCTGCACAACGTGGCTGTGTATAAACTTTGCCTGGAGAATGACACAGGCCAATAAGTTCTTTCTCACACTCCATGGAGACACAGAAGGCCAAGGAAATTAGAAGGTAGGAACGGATTAGTACCCATTTTATAGGTGGAGAGATGGGAAAATAAGAGCAGCTAAACATCAGTGTGAATTTTACTGTGCTTTGCTCTGCTGGTCAATTTGCATTCTTTTGTATATTGTTACTCCTAAAATGAGAGCATTCAATTCTGTTGCTAAGTACTCCAATGTTTGGGACAGTAACAATCACACTTTCTGCAAACCTAGAGGAACAGTAGAAGTTATACACATCAGCCACCTTAAGTACATTTATGGCATTACTGGGGTATTAAAAGTCCATAAAAGGTATTAAACTAGGAGCCAGCAGAAAAATCTGTCAAAGTTACCCAGGAGCATTTACAAAAACGCATGCAATTCATTTGTTTCTGTAAAAGCTCCTTTCCCCATTCCCCTCGGGACACAACAAAATCAAAACATGCAGGAATTAGAGAGATTACACCATGCATTTCATCTCCACCATCCCAGTTAGGATATTGGATCTTATAGAGACAAAGGAAATGAGGTCACGTGTCAATTTATCAAGGTCTGTTTCAGACTTGCGTTATTAGGTGGATTTGGATTGTTGTTAAAGGAACTGAAAACCACCACAGTCACACAACATCACACAGCTATTTACCCCCAAACAAAGACAGAACCAAGGCCTTGCCCATCACTTGCTTTGTTGATCGCGTTGCCTGTCGCACTGTGATCGAGATAGCCTAGAGAGCAGCCATGATTCCAGCAGCTCTGACTGGTCAAGCTGTCGACGTCTTCAGGAGCCATTCATCCCAAAATCATTTAAATTGGAATCCTAATGGCTATAAACTTTTGAAATGCAGCTTGGTCCCAGTTTTTTTGGTTTTTCTTGTACCATTACTTTGACATGTAGAGCCATAGGTAGCAGCTCAGGAGTTACACAACCAGTGTGTATTATCATTATTATTATTATTAGCAAGTTACTAAAGCTTAGTGCTGCTAATGCTCTAGTAGATTACAAACATTCTGGACTGGTTTTATGCAGACAAGCAGGTATTTGTGAATGGCACAATAATTAGACATTCCCACTTCTGCACATGGCCTGGACAATTCAAAAGCAGCCGAATTATTATGCAACAAACCAAATTTTGCCACTCTTCGCTAGAACTTCTCATACCTGCCAAGTAAATGTCATTGTACCTCCCACCTTTGTACCTCATGTATTGACCTAGGAAGAGCTAAGTGCCAACTTGCTACGAATATGGGAAGGGTTGGTTAACTGCCTTTAAGCAATCTAAATCTCCAGAGTACAGACACTACACCACTGAAACAGGGAAAGAATCACAGCTCACATTCCACTTCAGTCATAGCTATTTTGCTCTGTCCCTAAAGACATGTAGCCTAGGTTTGTAAGAGGGAACCTGTGCCCTGCACTGTTATTCAGTGGAAGCAAAAATGATTGACACTGCTTCTTCACAATTAGGATGAATCTAAGCCATCAAACCTCACTATTTGTATCCAAATCTCAAAATGTAACAAAAATGCTGCATTGATGGGGAGAAAGGGTAAATAGATGAGCTGAAGACCATCCAAACACTGCCAGCACAGCTACTATAACATAAGGAGTGTAACAACCAACCAGTGATTCACCAAAAAAGCTCAACTGATCCCTCAGCAGCAGCGCTGGTCACTGGTGGCCAACAGGTCACAAGGACAGCCCTTTCCAAAGCTTCCTGATCAGTGACAGCTCCTGAGCTTCAAACTCTGTTTTTCAACTGGCTGGACCCCCTCTGACATACACGAACCCTTTGTTCCCAGCAATAAGGAATTACATAGATCACAGTAACTCATCTCAACAACTTGCATCAACTACCCACAAGTAGCTGTTACCTAAAATGATGCTGAAAGTAGCATGTTTTCTGTAGTGATACCAGCAAGATGTGAAAATACTACTGATTTGGGGGGCCTGTAACCACTAATCTTCAGTAAACCAAACCAGTTTCTAACAGCAGGCACTGCACAGCTACTGAACGTGATTGAATGGGAAATAACATGTAATTCAGCACTGCAATCTGCAACCCTGTGCTTTTAGAAGATAACTGGCAGCTTTAATCACATCATCACACCTGTAACTTCTACTTAAAATGCTACTGATTGTAAAAGGGCTATGAAAAGCTTTTCTGAGGCTCTTTCGGGTTTTATTTCCTTTTCATGTGTTATCTACAATTAACAGAAAACAAGCAAAATGAATCTGGATCATAAACAGCTCTGCAAGAATGTGTCATGAAAAATGGAGAAAAAAACAGGAGCTGAACAAACTTTAATGGAAACGTGCATCGAGCATGCAGAGACAACGCAACGGAGGACAAACATCAATAGCAAACTGTACTGTTACAACAAAACAGTTACCACAAACATGGACACAGTTTTCTTAATCGTGACTGAGAGGTTAGTTGCAAGTGCTTTAGTGGCTAGACACTACTTTTGAGATACTTAAATGGGGACTACAACATGCAACAAGACAGCTGGTGACAATGACTGGAGATATCCCCTCGGTGCCACATTATATTCAGCTCATCAAGTTAAGTCTCTGCACCACAGCTTAAATAATAGAGATGTTATCTGCCTTTTTCAGATGCAGACAAATGATAGCTTTCTATTGCTCTGGCCATTTAAAAAAGTGCCATTTTAATGTTTTGAGCCGGTACTACAGCCTATAATAAAGAGATGAAATCTTAACTCTTCTAGTGCCTACAGTGATGACCTGAATCAATGACTTAATAAGGTTTTCTTCGTCATAAAGTATAATTTTCATATATAAGTGTACTAACACAAGGAAAAAAGTTTATCTATAGAAATTACTTTTACAGACTACTTTATAGCCAGAATACATCTGAAGGCTTCCCAGATGGTGGAGTCTCAAGCTACAGCTATACTGCTCTGAGAACTGTCACACTCTTACAGGCACAGAGAGCCAGCACTGGTGTGGGTAGTCACCAGATCATCTGCATAAATCTACATGGAGTTTTAAAAAGCATTAAGAAGCTCTATGTTGTTATCCTGACGAAAGAAAAAAACACATGCATCATGAAGTGGAAAGACAAGTTACAGCAAAAGTACAATCACCGAAGCACACCCTTTCAATCACCTTCCTCGCTTTGCAAGCTCAGCCAATACAGAGCAATTCAGCTGCACTGCTCAGCTAGTTGGCAGAAGTTGAAATTCTGATCGAGAGCAGCATTATCTTGTGCCTCAAATCAGAGATAATACATAATAAATATACGGCTGTGTACACCTGATGTGTTGCAACACTTGGTTCTGTGAACTGAGCTAAAGAGCTCTTATGGAAGCCTGAAGTGCAGATGGCGAAGATGAACATGAAAATGTGTTGTGTATCATGTCATAAAATAAAAACTAACATAAGAAAGAAGCAAATAGGGGATGTGTAAGGCTGTGGTAACCAAGATGATGATGATGATCTGCAGGCCACCTCATGTTCCTTGCTACAACTCTATATAATGTCATAAACATTAGAAGGTTCCAGAGAGAGCTCACTTCAAAATGTAATAGTAAAGATGAACCAAAAGGCTTTATTTAAAGAAAGAGAAAGGTAGGACTGCTTAGTGTCCTAGAGCACTGACAGAGCCTGTGCGCAGACCCAAAGTAACTGGGCTGGGCCACCTGAAAGATAAACTTACACTGAAAGGCATTTCCTCCCGGAGCCCTACACTGGGACCCACGTTTCCTTTGCGGTACTGGCAAGAGCTCTAAACCCCACTGATCTGAGCCTGCCAGGCACCTTTCCTGCACTTAACACCCCTCAGAGACAGCCCCAGAAGCAGAAGGAAAAGAAGTGTCGTTTTTCTCACCACTCCAGGCATGAACTGAAACAAGGAGGCTTTGCAGAAAGGCAACAGAGAGGTAGGCGCTCGGCTACTGTGTAGTGTTAACTATATATACATAGGTACTGGTATTTGTATGGCTGCACATGAAGATTATTGGCATGTATCCTGACTCCCCTATCAAGAAGGAATGAGTAAGGCATGGACCATTTAGCCTACACCTATAGAAAATCGAGAGCTGGGATCTTAGACCAATGTGTTTTATTTGGTTTTTAAAGGAAAGCATCACAACCTTTCCATAGGGGTCTGCACCCTGCTCTCATTTATACCTCTGCCTCCCTAGTGTCAGGAAATTGAATTGCTGTAAATCGAACAGGACCAAGGCAAAATGGGGCCCCAAAATAGCTATTCAGCAAGATCACAACTCTTCAGGAGGACTAAATACCAAGATAAATCTAATTTTTCACGTTTTTATTTCACGTTTATTTTTCTCTGCAGTCAATGAGTCCAATTCTGCATGGAATGTTATACAACTAACCTTAAGGCTTTTATTTGTCAATAGTTACAGCTCTCCCATCCCCCCCCGGCCTCTGCTGCTGAGCTCACTTGCAGGGGTAATCTTTGGCCTTGTAAAGAACTCGCTTGCTAATGCAGCTGATTTAATAATGTTGCCGTGCTGAAACCTGTTAGTATAACTCGATGCGTCATACCTGTCAGGTTCTAGTTCTCTTCTTCATTATGATGTAATCTCATTAAATCTCAATTACTCATATAAAGGACGCTTTCGCTGGAAAATCTTAATACTATTAGCGACATGAAAAACTCAACAGTAAATAACATGAAATAAATGTGTCACCTTAAAGCAACTGAGTGTCAGTGGGGAGATTCAAATAAACATGGAGGAAAGTGAAGCAAATATATCTCCAAGGGGCTGCTAATTCAATAGAAGTCAACTGATGGGAAGGAAGAGAAAAGCAGCAGGGAAATCTGAAGCCAAAAGATGAAACCAGTACCAGTAAACCATACTGACAAAAAGGTGTCTTTTGCTGCAAAGGGTTCTGTACGTCACAGTCCAGACCACGAGCGGTCATTGGCTGTCCGTCTGCTAATAAAGTTTTTGTAGTTTTGGTAGGTTTGGGAGCGGTAACTAACCCGTGGAGATTCCTGGTCTGACGGCAAACCATTTTGGGAAACCTGTTCTCCTTTTGTGCCATCCCTGGTGGGAGAGAGAAGAAAGGAAAGACATTGTATTGTGTTCTCGAAAGCCACCCGTCTCTTTCACCAAAATGACATTTCCCCCCGCCTATGGCACTCCTTGGAAATTCCAGCCAGCTCTGAAAGTCCTCAGGCCCAACTGGATAAATCCAGTGTTAAGGGAGGTCAAAATGGACTTTTCTGACAGTTACCTTACAAATAAGCCTACTCCTATCCCGTGAGTAATGCTATAAATGTTAATGTTCCATGGACGTGGCTTGAGATCTATTTGTGACTGATGCTCACCCAAGAAGAAAGCCAAGATGGTCCATAAACTTTAATCCATAACACAGAAGCTGTAAAAACAGCTTTCTTACTCTAGGGCCTGGTACACTTCAGCAGCTGTAACACTGCATCACGATGAAAACACGGATGATTCCATTTAGGAGTGAATTCAGGTGCCTGAGAAAAGCCTTGTCCCCATAAACCACCACATCTTCTAATGGGGGTCACATTCTAAAACCATACAACCCCAGGCTCTCCTTTTGCAACACATCCTCAGCCTGAGAAGTCTGTCTGAGAACACAGTTCAGCTTCCCACATCCCAGCTTACCATTGCTGCTGGGAGTCTGCATCCTCGGCAACCTTTGGGCTGGGCTCTGGAGTGGGAGGCTGTCTCTTCCTCTCCTCTTCCTCCTGTTGTCGACGTACTTCCAGCAGTTCCAACTGAGAAATGAAATGTTTTGGTGCATTTAAAAGCTCTGCTCATTTTTCAGGGGCATTTCTAGGAACTAAAAATAACTGCAACTTTTTCTGAAACATGAATGAAATTCAAGTTACATGGAATCAAATTTGAAGGCATCAGTCTTGCACAGTATTAATTATGTGAAGTTTGTTGCACTGAATTTGTCAGTAAAGGCCCACAGTATCAGAGCCTTTAACGTCAAGTGGAGTGCCTGGGCAGCAGCTCACCACTGTCTGTGTGTGGTTCCTTTCTCATTCATTTTATCAGAACCCAGACAAACAAGAAAGCAGCCCAAGCTATCAAAACACTGAGAAGTGACATGCTCTTGTGTGCCTCCCATGCACACAAACAATCCAAATCTCAGAAATCAACCACCTAAATAAAACCAGCCTGGTTCTGAAGACGCTGAGCAACTCCAGCCCATTCTGTCTGCAGCTGTGATGCTCAGTGTGTGTGAGAAATCAAATCACTTCAATTCTGGTGTCTAAAGTAGAATTCTTCTCCAGAGATGGCAACATGCTCTCCAGGCATTAATCACTGACACTGCAGCTGTGCTCTGGGTGCTTGGGGCTTTTTCACTTCTTATGTCTTCCCAGGGGACAATGCAGCCTTGTACTGGGGCAGTCAAAACACAACAAGCATTGCTGTCAACCCCCATCCCCATCACTGTCTCCTCACACTGTCAACCTTAACCAAAAGTCATGCTGAGTGTTTGTATCTGAGTCTTCTTCACACAGAATCCCCCTTCCTTTTTATACCAGCACAACCTGCATGGCAGGAGGCTGGAGCAAAATGCTTCTGGTTCAGCACTCCTGGGTTCAAGAGAGCTTTTACTGACTACTGAGGTCATTTATCATTAAGCTTTTCCCTTTCAGGTTGCTGAGTTTAAATTAACCAGAGAGGGTTTTAGTATTGTGGGGAACATGAACCTTAGCCTGAGGTTGATCAATGAACTGAGATTAGGCTGGTGATGCCAGGAGTTATTCCAACCAACCAGCTGGCACCAAACCAAAGGGGAATGGCCACGGCAGTTCCTCTGCCCCTCACGCACCGTGGTCAGCCGCTCCAGTGCTGCAAACCTCTCATCCCAGGTAGCTGCGGACTTCTCGAAGGCTTCGTGCCGCTTGATCAGTTTTTCCACCTCATCAACACTCTGGCCTATCTCACGACTAGAGAGGTAGGGCTCCTGCCCCAGCAGCCAGGCCTCAGCCACGCTCGCGTCTCTGGAGAACTGGTGTACCTCCAAAACTGAGCAAAGAGAGACGGGAATCAGCGCCATTCATGCCACAAACTGCACGGAAAGTCATGAGGCATCTTCTGCATGTGCTTAAACACAGCTCAGGGGAAAAGCCAATGTACTTGGACAAGTATTGTCCTTAACCAAGCTCTCACTTTAAAGGCAGAAATTTAGGCTGTTGGCTTTGCTTTGAGGAAAACTAATAGTGAAGTCCCACCTTCCCTTCTTCTACAGACTATATTGCAGGGGGGTTGGACCAGAGGACCTTTGAAGGCCCCTTCCAACCCAAACTATTCTATGATGCTATGACTTTGCAAGCTTAGTGTTTCCTTTTTGTTCTAATCTGCTGTAGTCTACTAACTTCAGAGTACAAAATCTGTTCTCTGCTGATTCTCTTCCCCACTGCCCTGTCTACAGAAGAGCTGCAGCAGACTACAGCTGACTGCAGGCTGTAGTTCCCTTTAGCAAGTGGTATTTCTGGACTTGATGCTTGACTACAGCGTTACAGTTCCAGGTTTCCTTCCTTTTCTGTCTTCACACCTGAAAAATACACTTCCACTGCTTTTGTGAACAGGATGAAGCACCTTTGATGAAGAATATGGTAAGACCACCCAACCTGAGGGACAGCTGCCCATGTTACTGCATTTCCTAAAGCCTCCTGAGGCTCCGAAGCAGCCCAGAACCCCACAAAATGACTACACGCCACTGTATGTTTTGAGATACTGTACAACTGCCTTCTGCAAAGGCTCCGGTCTGTACATCGGATGGCGATCATCTTGTTAAGAGCATCAGAACTGGGCTGTTGCTGGTGTGAAGCCTGCAAAACCCTGCAGTGTTTCAAAGCACACCTTCCGTCAGTGAAGTGCTCACCAACATTCTAAGCTCTTGGATAACGCAGGTAACATGTTATATGCATAAGGCAGCAGGGCTTTACTTCTCCCTGTTTTTCAGTAGTGCCTCCTTTGCAGAAACCCAGTCGGAATGTGACACCTGCAAAATACAGCGGATCTATTTCACCTCGCTCCAAATTTGATCATACAGAGCAAGACCTGTGCTGCAGGTTTCTCGGTTTCAAATTCTCCTCTATTTTACAATCCCTGGGTGTGAATCTTGCTGTCACCACAGTGCAAACACACCTTCCAGCACTGTTATTAGAAAAACAAGGACCTGCAGGTGTTTTCCACACTCAAGAAGACATAAGGAAGTGAGAGTAAGACATGGCCCTGCCCAAAAGAAGCCCAAGCACATCCTTACTCAGTCTCAGCCACTCCCATCTGTCTTCCCATTTGTCGATCATTTCTTTTCTCTTCTCTGTCAGCTGCAGCAGCTTTTCCTTGATCTGGATGGAGAGGAGAGAGCAGGACCATTACCCAAGCACAGGCTCACCCACCACACTGTGAAAGCCCTTACCACCGGCACAAGGCAAAACACATTGTGCTGGATTGTCAGGAAGTGACTTAACCATGCAGACAACAGCTGCTTTTCTCCTCTAAGTATAAATAAATATGGCATTTGCATTGAAATACCACATTTGCATAAGCATCCGGTGTCTGTTCAAGCCCACAGCGCTAGGAGTAGTTGATAAAAGAAAGCGTAACAGGCAAACAAATCTAAATGGTGCAATTACGTCTTGTATCTCCTGCTCATGTTCTAGCAGGTAGTGCAAGATGTGCTTGCTCAGGGATGCTACAGGAAGCCTGCAGGTACTGGTGCTAACAGCACACTGACACGCAGCAAATACCCCTGGTTGTTCTCAGGGTGAATACTGGCTCCCAAAGCCTCCCAGTGCCTGTGCAATTGCTTCCCCAAGGATACTCCACAGGATCCTCTGTGTGTGATGCAGACACAGACAGAACCACCTCCCAGAGTGGGCAGTATCTAACAACATTTAACTTCCTCCCTCCATCAAAGGGAGGCAGGAAGAGACACAAGTCAAGCCCCTATCCTCTGGCCTAGACAAATCAGAACACAAATCAAGGCCTTTGACTCTTAATATTTCCTGGATTTACCCCCTGTGATAAGCTCTCTCCTGCTCCTTCCCCTAGGAGGCCTCTTCCAGTTCCCCTGTACAAGAAGAAGGCCTCTCCTCTTGCTCAGGGAAGTCATCTTTCCCAACACAGACATCCCAGAGCTTCCTTTATGCACAACTGAATGCAACAGCTTCCTTGCACTTCCTGGACTGAAAATGATACTTCAAATTTAGGTGCCATCCCTGCTACCCAACATGAACTCACAGAGTTAAATTACACACGAATTTCACAATAGCAAATAAGTGCAACAGTCCCTGGAGTGAATTACAAACAGCTTATTCATCTGTAGGTTACACAACACCAGTTTCTCCAGCTGAACCCAGGCAGCTCACTGCAATGGTTGGGTGTTCAGCAAGCACGGTACCTCCTCTGATGCATAGTGCTTCCTTGCCAGAAGAGATTTGCCGAGCTCGATGCAGGTAGTAAAGCTGTCATTCCGGGCATCGATTTCTGCTTTGATTCCCTGGTGATTGTTCATGAGGAGTTCAACAGATGAAACGTCCCTGAAATGATCAAGATGCTCAGAACCGTGCAATGCAGATTGAACAGTTGTTACACTTACAAACAACTAGCACACAACTGTTCAACAAGGATATCAATTCCGAGACTGGGTCTGCAGCTCAGGAAGCAGGACTGCTGCATGAAGACAGGCTGAGAAAGCTGGGGCTGCTCAGCCTGGAGAAGAGAAGATGCATGGAGACCTCATAGCAGCTTCCTGTGTCTGAAGGGGGTACAAGGATGCTGGAGAGGGACTCTTCGTCAGGGACTGTAGTGACAGGACATGGGGTTATGGGTTAAACCTTAAACAGGGGAAATTTGGGTTCGATATAAGGAAGAAATTCTTTACTGTGGTGAGGCCTTGGCACAGGCTACACAAGGAAGTGCCCCGGCAGGGTTCAAGGCCAGGCTGGGGCTTGGAGCATCCTGTCCTAGTGGAAGGTGTCCCTGCCCCTGGCAGGGGTTGGAACTGGATGAGCTTTAAGGTCCCTTCCAACCCAAACCAGTCTGGGATTCTATGAAATATCCCTCAACTGACCTGCAGCCTTATCTTCTAATGGAGGAGAGATCCTTCACATACCTTGGCTTTTCCTGGGCTTCTATCTGCCGGATAACATCTTCCATCCAAAGCATGAGATCACGAACCATGCTGAAGAAGCGGAATTTGTCTCCTGTATCCACCAGCCTCACCCTGCGGCCCTCACAGGCATCCAGCAGTGCTTTCCATGCTTCCAAGACCTCATTTTCCCTCTTCTGGATGTCATCAGCTTTGTCTCCAGCATAGGCAGCCTGAAGGCGTGCAGCATCCTCCTGCAGCTGTCTCACCTGGGGTTTTATAGGGGAGAAATGCATCAAGCCTTTGAACACCTCTATGGGGACATGTGAGCTGCTACTTCACCTTCCTGAAGTCACTGCAGATATATATAAGCCTGGAAAGGTTTGTTCTATTATAAAGTCAGTGCATCCCCAGGAGAATATTTCTTAGAGGAGACTGTGGGGTCAAGGGGCCCCAAAATAGCAAAGATTTGTCACTGCCCAAACGGGTGCAAATAGAGGTCGACTGTTAAATGTCAGGGCACAGGGGACCATTGTCATCATCAGTTTTCCTTCCTCTCACACAAGTGACGATGCCACCACTCTGGAACCCCTGTATCAAACCCACTGCTCTACCTGCAGAGATGACTTGTCAAAAACGGAGATAATGCCTTCAAATACAAGAAAATTGGGAAATCCAAAGATCTGCCTACTGTTAGAAATCTCTTTTCCTTTCAAATGCTGTCTTGGGACACCAAATGCTATTTCTTGACTGTTTCACATACTTTTCAAGACAAGAAACATTTGATTAGCTCTTATCTAATAATGTTATCTTTTCCTTTTGAACATATTAAAGACCTTTTAGCTACAGTCACAGAGATCAGGCCATTATCGTAATGATCCATCTTGGTGCTCATGCTGTTTCACCCAAACCCGATCCTAAGTGCTTCCACCACAGCTTTGTGCTATGATTACATATTCCTCCATTTAGGTCTTGATTGTAATTACCTTTTGGAGAGGCTGGGATTGGTGTTTTGTGAATGTCTCCCATTTTATGTATAAAATCTACAGCTGCTGAAAGCAAACCACTTGGAAAATCAAATGCTGGCTATATCCCCTTTATTCTAGTGTAAACAGCTATTTAATTGCAACATAATCAGGCAGCTGGCCATAAAAGCCATCTTTTCCTACTGGGATAAATGTAGCCGGTCGTAATTCCTCCATTCCTTAAGCAACTTGTTCCCTTCCAAAATCTCATTCTGGCATCTTGAACATGGGGTTTTGGTTTAGAAATCCCCTGTGTCTGTATGAGCTGCTCCCACCTTCTATTTAACACAGTTTGGTTTCAAAAGATGCAGAATTAGATCAAGTGTGGCTGCTTTTAAGTATCTTAGCCTGGACTATGTACCTGAAATCCTTTCAGACTGCTGTTGGGAGCACCATGAAAAGCAATAGTTAAGTCAGAATGCTCAGGTTCATGAGAGTCAGAAGGTCTCTCTGGAGGTCTCGGACTCCCTTTGCCTCTCCGAAAGGACAGAAAAGGCTTTGGCTGGGGCTTACTTGAAACAAAACAAAACCAAACCAAAGAACCACATAAACCAAACCCCAAAACCAACCAACAAACAAATCAAAACCCCAGCCAGGCTTACACATCCCTTCTTATTTGTCTCTGCCCTCCAAGTATCCTTTGGAATAACAACTCTTCCATGGGGCAGGATAGTTGTGTCTTGCTTTCACCAAGGTGAACATGAGGTGAGGAGCAGGCACATCTGAGGTGGCTTTCAGCATAGTTAATGTAACACGCAGGAAGAATGTTAAGGACAGAAGAATGTGAAACCTGTATTTCATATTACCTCTGGTATATCAAGAATTCTTTACAGATTTAGGATGTGTTCAATGTCTTCACTAAAGAGACAGTGTGTTGAGTCAAATGAATCCTTTTTCCTTCAAATAGAAGCTATTTCCCAGTCATATCAGCCATGCAGTGTTCTGGTGGTTGGCAATCCAAAAAAGGCCCTCTGAGGCTACCCTCACGCCTCTCCATCTCCTCCCTCCTAAGCACGCAGCAAGCTCAGACTGCCCGGAGCCGCTTTGCTTTTAAATCAATACAGAAGGTCTCTGCCTTTATGGTTTCCTCTTCAACCAAGGGCAGGAAATGGAATAATGTTCAACAATTACTTACAGGCTCAGACATCTGTGTGCTTATAGATTCCTATTTGGGATAAACTAATTAACCTAATGCAATGACAGCGAAGCAGGAAGACAGACAAGGAAATGATGCAGGTGAGGTTGTTCCCCCAGAAATACACTTGGAGGAGCCATGGAGGAGCTATGAGCAAGGGCAGAACTCTGCAGCTCAGGTTCCTGTACCCGCCACCAGCACCACTGCCTGGCTACACACCTGGGTGCCGAGTGCCTGGATGTCATGCTCAAACGTTGTGTGCATTCTCTGCAGCGTTTCCACTGTGTTTTGGTCTCTACCAAGCTCTTCGGGCAGTTTCTTATGTTTGTCTTGAATACGTCCCAAGATCTCCTTGGCATCGTGGTAAAATTTGTGCAGTTCATAAGAGGCTGCTAGGATTTGTGTTCTCGTGTCAATGAGCTCCAGCAGATCTGCCCAGGCCTCATTGAGTCCGTCCTTCCACTCCGCAATGGTGGCAGCATCCGAGTGTCCGGAGTTGATGAGTTCATCTGCCATGTGGTTGACGGTGTCAACGCGCTCCTGGCCGATGTTCCCTGTGTCCCGGGCGAATTCACGGAACCGCTCCTGGAGCATCTGAAACCCAAAGGAACAGGCTCATGCGGTGCTGTGGCTACTCCCTGACCTGAGCAAGCCAGCCAGCCACCATTTGTGTTAACTGGCTACTGTGTGCTGCACCCAGAAATGGAAGGTCAGCCTGCAGCCACGTCCAAAGAACTATGAGGTCCACGTGAACTACTGTGCGAACTACTCTCCTATGAGGAAAGGCTGAGAGGTGGGTCTGTTCAGCCTGGAGAAGAGAAGGCTCCAAGGAGACCTTATTGTGGACTGTCAGAGCTAAAAGGGGTCTGTAAGAAAGATGGGAAGAGGCTATTTAGGAGGATGAAGGGTGATGGTTGTAAACTAAAAGAGGGCATTTCAGGCTGGATGCAATCTTTACAATGAGGGTGGTGAAACACTGGCACAGGCTGCCCAGAGAGGCGGTGTGTGCCCCATCCCTGGAGACATTCCAGGCCAGGCTGGATGTGGCTCTGGGCAAACTGGTCTAGTTGAAGATGTCCCTGCTCATTGCAGGGGGTTGGACTGGGTGAGCTTTGAGGGTCCCTCCCAACCCAAACCATTCTCTGGTTCTAACTTACCGTTACGTGTTCGTAATCCTGTCCCAGCTCGTGGGATCCTGCCACCACCTCCCTTTCAGCAATCCACTGTTCCAGGTCGTCCACCTCGCGGTTCAGCTGGAACAGCCTGTGCCTCTCATCCAGCTTGCCCCGTCTCTCTTCGGCCAGATCCTTCAGGCCTGCGTACAGCTTGTCCACTTTGGACTGGCGCATGCTGATTCGTTCACTACAAGAAACCAAAGAGCATTGAGTCCTCATCATCTTTGTAAATAAAATAAAAGGAAAAACCTACATGGAATAAAAATCACTTGGGGTATTTACCCACAGAGCACTGCTGCATGCACGGGTTTGACTCAGACACACTGGATCAATCCTCTGCTGGCACAGCTGACTGGAAAACATCTCTGCCCTGCACCTATAACCAGCTTGGCTTTACAGAGTGAAGCTGGAACCGAGTTCTCCTTTTATTTGGCCACAGATCACATCTGAATCTTGTCTCAAGATCCCAGGCAGGATCTGGGCTGCTGAGCCGAGCAGCATTTCACTGTCATCTCAGGTCTGCTTCAGAGCTCAAAAGCACTCATGGGCTCCTTACTCCCTAAAGCTCAGCATTCCCATTAATCACAAGTGATTTCTAGTTCTACTGGCCACATCTTTTGCCTATAGTTTATCTGAGCCATAAAGCCCAAACTGCCTTCCCTCGGCCTTGTAAAGCTGATTGTGTCAGTCCAGTACTCAGTCAGCTCAGCCAGGAAACCCGCTCCCATCAGATGTTATCATGACCACAAGAGAGTGCTTTTGAGTTAAATAACCGTCTTCCACCAGAGGCAGAATTGTCTTTCCCAAGATAGTCCTCTCCTATCTTCCTGTCTGTGAAGGCAGCCTCATAGTGAAACCAGCCTTGCAGTCAGAGCCAATAGAGAATTCTGTTCACTCAGCTGCAGCTCTTAGAGCAGAACAGTTCTTCAGCTTCCTGAATTCTCCCACAGGGAAAGGCCATTTAGGAAAGTTGAGATAAATTTACCACAACCAAGATGTTAATGTGCCCACACGTGAGATCCCAGTCTCTGATGCTACTGGAATCTCAAAGACAGGAGGCAGAGCTTGGGGAGCGCTGTGCTAACACAGAAGGACAAACATCTGTGACCCTTGGGCTGGACATAGAAGTTGGTTGAAAGAGTGAATATGGACCCTTGTCTCTCAGGATTGCTGCAGCTCCGTTAGGCTCAGCAGTGCTGGGCCAGGCTGTGCAAAGGGTGCAATAGATGTTTACTGAAGGTGTCTGCTACCTTCCATCAGCACCTGCACACACTGACCCTGTTCAGGACCCTGACTCTGGCCAAATCAGGGTGGCCCAGTGTACATCTTGAACTGAGCAAGGCTGAACTCCTCCTCCTCCGTACACCCTTCTGAGCAACTTACTCTTTGCTGTAGTCTTTGTGTGTCAGAACAACCCAATGAAGGGACTGAACTCGTGAAAGGGGTCATGATCCAATTTAAAATGGCCGGTGATACCTTTCTGGGTGGTTATCTGCCACCAAAGTTCTGCTGGTCTTTGAAAGCTGGTGCACGGTTTCTGCATAGTCTTCTACAGCTTGTTCCAAAATCTGGTGCTTCTTCAGCATGGACACGGCACTCTGCTCATCCTGGAATGGTGACAACAAGGACAGCTGAGCCCCACAGCCCAAAGACACCACAGAGCCAGGTCAGCTTGGTGTGACAGCACAAAGTGGTAGCCAGAACCAGTTACAAAGAACCGCTCCCAAGTACAGCTTGAAGACAAGCTGTTCTGACAATGGTATATTAATAGCTGAGTTCACAGCAAATGGTACCCACAGAAAGCCAAATAACAAGTGAAAGAGTGAACGCACCAACCCCTCTGGGATGCAGGGCAGAATTACATCAGCTGTGCACTGAGCATGCTGCATTTCCCCTTCTGTGAGGCTCTTTGTGTGTTTACACAACACTGGTGATTGTGCAGGGCTCGGAAAAATGGAGCAGTTTTAGGCACGTCACTTGTCAGGCTTTGCAGGGACAGCCTGGGGCCGGGAGAAGAAATCCTATGGAGCCTTTGCCAAAGGATTCTCCAGCAAAGAGCCTGGAGAAATTCCCATCAGAACTTTCTATGCGTTGTTATGATTAAGGACCACAACCCCCAGCTCTCACTGCTAACTGGTATTGTCACTAAGCCCTTTCAGTAACGTATTTTGTGCAATGAACTATTTGCATGAATGTCCTTTTTATCTTCATCATTTAGGTATAAAAGCCAAACTCCTTTTTAACTGCAGACTGAACACCAACAGGACGTGTTATACTGACACAAAGCTGGGGTTTATTTTATCAAGGCCATGAACACAGTGCATTTACCTAAATAACAAATAAGACACCACATTCTAACGCCTCTTTGAAAAGCAGGAGTTTGTGTACTCTTTGCTATGGTCTGATGCTGTCCTGATTTCAAGTCACTGGGTGTAAAGGCTGGTGGCATCAGCTGACTGACCATCAGGCCCTGTTTCACAGACTGGTGACTGCTGTTCCCAGTGATTCAAAACTAACACATAACTTGCTCTAACTAACTGGGCTGTACTGGGAATTCTGATCTCACAGCACAGGAAGGCATGTGGTTGCCATAGAATCACAGAATGGTGTGGGTTGGAAAGGACCTTAAGTTCATCCAGTTCCAACCCCCTGCCATGCACAGGGACAGCACATACCTCCATGGTCTCAGTGTGAGGATGCTTCCCTGACTCAGCACAGCAAGGCCTATCCTCCTCACTACCAGAGACGTCATAACAGATACAAGAGATGACCAGTTGAGCTTTCAGAAGGGAATTAAATCTGTTAATGTTCCATCACATTAGTGACGGATTCAATTATGTCACCTCCACCCCTCTAGCTAAGCATTTAAACCCAAACTAGTGTTGCTGGGGAGCTGCTCACCTTGGCTTTCTCTTCTGACATCATGTAGAGCTCCTGCTCACTCATCCAGGCCTCAGCCTCGGCAGCATCGAAGTAATACTGCTGTGCTCTGTGAGACTCCTCCAGGCGCTTGTGGCGCTTCTCTGTCTCCTCGATGAGGAGGTTCCAGAGCTGCTTCAGGTCTGCAAGTCTCTGCTGGATCACCTCAGCATTAGGGCTGCTCTCTGTGATGATGTTTTGACTCCTCTCAAAGATGTCGTCAATGCGAGGCTGATGTCCCTGGATTTCTTTCTGAAGGGTCTATAAGGGGAGGAAAGCAGATGGATGAGACACTGCACCAAGCTAAAAGGAAGCAACAGTCAGGGGTCTTAACTCCAGAGGGGCAGCAAAACATGTACCATCAGCTCATGGGGAGAAACTGGGGTCCCCCCTGAACACAGAATCACAGAACAGTTTGGGTTGGAAAGGATCAACCAGTTGCAACCCCCTGCCATGGGCACGGACACCTTCCACTAGAGCAGGTTGCTCCAAGCCCTGTCCAACCTGGCCTTGAACACTGCCAGGGATGGGGCACTTACAGCTTTCTTGATCAGCCTAGTCATTCCAGTGTCTCACCACCCTCATAGTGAAGAGTTTCTTCCTTATATCTAACCTAAAAACAAGCCACCACCCGCTCATCACCCCACAGCCCACCACTGCTGAAGCACCCACTATTTACCCCAAGCCTTTCCTTCCTGAGCTAGTCAGCTCTAAGGAGAAGTAAGAGGTACGGAGCTCTAACAGCACCTACTTACCTGATTTTTCTTTATGAGTAGCTGCACGGTCTGGAGGTTGTGTCCATGATCTGTTGACGTAGCTATGGGCATCCTCTCTCCAACCCACAACTGAAAGGAAGAGAAGAAGAACACATGTTGTTGCAAGTGACCCCAGATACAACCAGGGCAGCAGAGAGAGGCTGGTGCAAAAAGCAGCTTTACTCAAACACACCACGAAACGCAGGATCAAAAGGTTTCTCCTGTGAGAGCTCTGAGCAGGCTCTGACATTTTCCTGTTGTTTGGGGAACTGGATCTCTTTCATACTCACAATTTCATCTTCCACATCCCGGTTGAACTGGTGGATCTCTTTGGAGGCCAGCAGGTTTGCCTTCCTTTCATTCAGAGGCTCCAGCAACTCCAAAAACTTCTTCTCTACAGTAAGGCGCTTGCCATCCACTTCATCTGTGCTCTTCCCTTCTTGACTCAATGCCCTTGCCTGGCTTTGCAGCTCCTCAATCTCCTTCTTACGAACATCCATTTGATTTTCTAGCATCTAAACAGAAACACAGCATAAAGGTCCTGAAAACTGGGGTAAAAGCAGTTGATACGACAAGGATATGTCAATAGCTCCATAAGGAGGAACAGAAGCTTCTTAGTAAGGGTTTACCACATTAATCAATACTGCAGCGTTCCTCCAGCAAGGAACATGGACTAAACATGGATTCACAACTGTGGGCAGCTGCTGACAGCCCTCAGTTATCCCTGCTTGTGCAAATGGTGGATTTGGCCAACGATGGAGCTGAATCTCTTCTGTTGGTCCTTCACAGGTCACCCTCAACAACTCTGGAGCACAGCTGATTGCACCCAACAGCTTCATAGCTCCCTGCTGTCCTCACTACTCCCTGCTGCCTTCACATGAGGGAACAGGGATTGAGAGCTTTGGCCAAGTTTGAATCACAGAGAGGGAATGACCTCTAGAGGACTACAGCAGGAGACAGAACAGAGATATTAATGCGGGTAAAGGGCAGTATAAGGTAGAGATTGTACCAAGAAATATATGCCTCATTTGCTTCTGGTTCTTCTTAAAGACACATGAAACAACAGGGAGAAAGAAAAGCAAATAAATTCTTTTATGAATGGAAAGGATCCCAGATCTGCTCCTTTGAGCACAGGTATCTGCTGCTGCCCACTCTGCAACCTGCGCTCCATTTACCTGCTGCTTCTTCAACAGGATGTTGACGCTGGTGAGATCCTTTCCGTAGTCATCCGACTGAATCTGGCTCTCTAAACCATTCAGCCACTTGTCCAGATCAGCACAGCTCTGGGTGAAAAGCTCTGCCTTGTTCGCATCGAAGAGACGCTGCGCCTTGGTCTGGGTAGTGGATTCGAGCTCTTCCCACATCTGATGGAGACCTGTGAGCTTTTCTTTCACCACGGCTTCAGTCTCTGGTTTCTCTGCAATGAGCTGCATTCCCTCCTGCAGAACAAAGAGCAACAAAATGGAACCTCCTCTGGAGCACTCACAGACCGTTAGCTGAATTACTCTGATTAGAAAGCACTCAGGAGCCCTCATCTGCTGGCAGCATCAACGGCTCCTTTTCTATCTTCAATTACCCAGTGACTCCTTCCAGAACGTCAGCTCCCAGGCCTGGCTGTTGCCAGGAAGAGGTCAAGCTCCTGGGGACACTGCTCAGAAGGCAGTGGGATGCCCCATGTGCGTGTGTGACAGCACAGGGGGGACCTGCAGCTTGAACAACTGCTGTGGGGCATCTCACCAGGAGGGTGACAAAGACCCAGTGTAACACTGGGAGAGGGAGCTTATGGTACCCAAATGGAGCAGTGAGACTGAGGAGGGTTATGTCAATGAGTTACAGCAATCACCATGGGTCTAAACTACTATCAGAGAGGAACTATCTTCCTTGGAAGGAAGGAGGGACCCTGTCCCTAGCTCCAGCAGAGTGCTTGGACTTAAGACGTCTTTTTGCCTTTACAAAGATTATATTCATTTGGGGAATATTCTCTTTAACTGTACTTCTACCTCTGCTCCTGGGTGATGCTGACAAGGGACAAACCTTGTCAGATATGAACCCTAACACAGCCCTACCACATTTAATAGCTGTGACCGCTGGTAACATTAATAAAGTGATTGTCAGCTGTGGCTCCATCCACAGCTTTGGTACTTTGCTGCAATCTGATTTTTCAGCAGCAAAGGGTGAGGATGTATTAGCATCACTAAAAAAGTACTTCCAGAGCAGCCTTTTAATTACACCATTAAAGGGTATTGCTATTTGCAGATCACAGAAAAGCCTCTAATGGGATACAGAGTGCCAAAGTGGGAGAGGAAATGAGCAATTAAGCTAACTTACACTGAACAGAAACCCACTGTCAGAGCTAAAGACGAGACCTCCTCAGTGCTCCAGAGCTGCACATGAGAAATGGGGGGGGGGAAGTACAGCTCATCACAGCACATTAAAGCCTTCAAAGTAACATGATACAGAGCTGTGAATGTTAATTAATCACAAAGCTGGCTGTACTTTACTTCATGCACTAATTCTGCATGGGGAAGGCAGCCTGATTGTAGTCCTGACTGAATGAGAACCAGCGCGGCAGCATGGGAGCCTGAATTCACTTATTCACCCCCATCCAGTTCTTTCCCAGGAAGTACTTCTACTTCATCAGCTCAAATCACAACATTTGTCCCTCTTCTGCTCTTTGGGTATGAAAACTAGGTCATGCCATCCTCCGAAGAGACAAGAAGGACTAGACAACATGAAACTGGCAGCTTAGCCAATGGTTATTATATGAGAATGCCTTGGATAAAAGCCATTTAACATCAGTGAGGAATGAAATGGGGTAGATGGAGACACAAGGTGATAGGTGTTTATCCTACAGTAATGAAATCTCCTTTGGCCTTAGCTGGAGAGAGGATTCAAGGACCAATCCTGCAGAGGAACAGGTCCCGTCTCTGTACCCAACCATCTTTGACAAAGACGAGGGCACTTTATGGATGTTCTTTAGTTACCTTTTCAATCTTATCCAGCCACTCTTTGTTGGATGCAAGCTCTGCCATAAATGCCTGATGCTTCAGCCACTTGCTGTGCAGGTTCCTCGCCTCATCATAGGACATGTCCTGGGCTGTGAGCATCTTCTCATTGATCCAGAGTGAGAGCTGGAAAGGAAAACACACGGCTACTTGTGAAAACAATTGGGTGAAATAGTGCAAAGCATCAAAGTGCCTCCAGACCAAGGAGGAAGAGATGCCTCTCTGCAGGGGAGCTGCACGAGATCCAGAGACAGCTTTTACTCAGGGTTCAGCCAGGGATCCACCACTTCCACAGCTAAATTTAAACATCCATCTCCAACATATAAATAACCCATGACTCATGCAGAAAGGCCTCAACTCCGAGCTCACAGGTCTCACCCAGTTCAGCTGCAAGAGCAACAGGGATGTGTGTTCTACTTACTGGTCACGGTGTACCTCTGCACCACTTTCCCCTTGCAACATTACTCAATGTGCTACCCAATGTCATCACTACACCCCTGAGGAGCCCTGCTGACTTCCTGAGGGCACTCAGAGGTACACACTAATGGAGTGGTGCGAAAAGGCTTCTCCAGATTAAACAGAGCCCCAAGGTACATTTTTCAGGGAAGCACTAAGAAATTATGTATTTCTACTCCTACCAAAAAACCCAGACAGGTTTGTACCATTAACTCACACACTCAGTACCTATTCCCCTAAGTCTTCTCTCTATATGGGTTTACATCACTAAATCCGATATTTGTCCAATCTCTGGTAGGGTTTTGGTACTCGAGACTTTCCTTTAGCCATTAGATAAAATCCAAGACTCATTTCATCCTGATTTTCTGCAAATCCAGAGGCACTGAGAACAATTTCCAGACCAAGGCTACAGAAAATCAATCCTATAGAAGACAGATCATTTGCCATGGGCAAATAGAATGTGAAAATGATCGCAGCAGGCAGCATCCAATTTCCTCCTGGGGTGGTTCCAACTGCTTTATCTACCCCTTAGGTGTGGATAAAACACACATTCAGAGGCATGTTTATAGGGTTTGAAAAGGATTCATTGCTGCAGATTTAGAGTCACTTCCCAAGTGGAAAATGTCAAAACAAACCTAAACTTTGTTTCCAGGATGCTGTCTCGGTCTCCAATTCCCCACTACACACTAAGGGTACAGGGCAGCAAACACATTCAGCACTCACAAACCTGTCTAAATCATCCCTTAAAGGCACTGTTAAGCTCCACAAAGAGGGAAAACTTAGGAGAGCAATCAGAGAAACTCCTCATCTGCTCTCGCCATCAAGAAAACATGATGTTCTGGATAGAAATGCTCATGTTAATGAGCCTGCAGTTACAACAGGCTGATGAGCTACTGCACACCCAAAGGATGACTCGGTAACCCCGGACGAGTGGTTTTACTCCTGCCTTTTGGGCAGCAGACAGCTGCTACACTGTGCAAACTGCACTCCTGTCTTCCACTGTTTGCTTTGCCTGGCCATAGCATTAGATGTACTAAGGATTTCAGAGGGCTTCCAAGAAAAGGTGATACAGCTCCTGTTAACAGGTGGGGTGAAGCGAGACACAGATGATACATGGGACACAGGCAGGGTCAGCATAAACCCCTTGCTTCTGACTCACACTGTTGTTATGTTCCTTCTGATAACATTAATGCAAATAAAGGATTTAAGGGGTGACATTAAAATACGGGGTTTGCAACCACTACAGACACTGAAAGTCAGTGGGAGGTGTCCCTGCCTATGGCAAGGGGTCGGAACTGGATGAGCTCTAAGGCCCCTGCCAACCCAAACCATGCTCTGACTCTACGGAAGCCATAAGCTGGTTGTTAATGCCAGCAGAGCCAGCTTTTAGGCTTCCTCCCCTCCTTTGCACCAATACCACACCACCACGGTGCTGCTCTCGGCTCCCAGAAGCCTCTAACAGTGCAATGAGCTGAGAGAAGCGCCAAGACAAACCCCTTGTAGAGCTGGCAGAGCAACAAGGGAAGGTGAAAGAGCACCAGGTGCTGCTGCACTACCAGGCCCTGCAAACACCCGTGCTGGCACAGCCTGCCTTGTGCAAGGTTCTCACTTTGAGCTGCATGACAAAGGTGCCAGGCTGCACTGAACAGGCAGCATCTCCTGGCGCGCGGAGCCTCGCCAGATGCTGTCGCTCCAGAAGCATGGAGAAATCAGCGCAGGCCGTGCAGGGACGCAGAGCACTTGGAGGAAGATCAGCTTTAACCTCTTTGAAGGTGAGCTCTGGATGCGCAGGAAGACGAAGAAAACTAAATGGCAAAATGTGTCACATCTCTTCTCGGGGGTTTCTGCTGTCTCTGTGTCATTCGCTCAGCAAACTTACTCCACACGTTCATGGTTATGAATGTGAGAAACAGGCAAGAGAAAGCAACAGCCCAGGATTAACCTGTGACATAGAACCCCAGCCTGGTTTGGGTTGAAGGGACCTTAAAGCTCCTCCAGCTCCAAGCCCTGCCACGGGCAGGGACCCCTTCCACCAGAGCAGCTTGCTCCAAGCCCCTGTGTCCAACCTGCCCTTGAACACTGCCAGGGATGGGGCAGCCACAGCTTCTCTGGGCACCCTGTGCCAGCGCCTCAGCACCCTCACAGGGAAGAGCTTCTGCCTAAGAGCTCAGCTCAGTCTCCCCTCTGGCAGGTTCCAGCCATTCCCCTTGGCCTGTCCCTACAGGCCCTTGTCCAAAGCCCCTCTCCAGGTTTCCTGTTGGCCCCTTTAGGTACTGGAAGAATCTGTATCTGATGAGGAGCCACAAACAATACTCAGCAGCAGTCAACAGTCAGTACTATCTGACTACTATCAACAAGAAAATCTGCTGTTTCCCCTCATCTGTGACCCAGAGGAAAGGTCTGTCACTGCTGAGCTGTTGTTCTGAGCCTTATCCTGCCACCTCCTCCAGCCCCACTGACCCTGCTCAGCGCCTGCCCCGAGCCAGAGGCAGGAAGGAGCGAGGGGAAGAGGCCACGTTACAACAACACTTAGCACTGAGCCACAGGAGGAAAGTGGCTGCCCTGGGGCAGGAGCACGCTGCAGAGAACACTTCCTGTCCTCAGGTTCCAGAGGGTGGGAAACCACCCCTATGGCAGCAGGCAGGAAGGGCAAAGGATCATTGCTGGGTGAAACAGGGACTGCTGCGAATCTGTGCTCTACAATTCTTGGTCAAAGCCAAGAGGGAGGCATTGCCTTGGCTCCCTCCCACCCTGCAGGACAGCAGTGCTCCATCCATCACACAACCCCTCCAGCCCAAGGGAGCCAGCAGCAGAGAGGCCACAGTCACGCTAATGCAAATGCTAAGTCTCATTGTAGAAAGGTTTGGGTTGGAAAGGACCTAAGGATGATCTAGTTCCAACCCCCCTGCCATGGGCTGTCTCCTCACAAAACACCCATTCAGTTATCACCAAGAAAGGACTGGGGAAATTTGCAACATTTGGGTAGTGTAAGTTCTGCCGTTGTGCAGACATCCATGCTTTAGTAGCTGGAGAGATCCAACCACGAGGAAAGGCACTGAGGCAGGCAGACACTGGAGCTTTTATGTCTGCCTCTTCATCCTGTGCTATAGGCAAAACCCAGACCCTGGGGAACAACACAACCACGATGACACAGGGGCTAGAGGAGCTCCAAGAGCCAGGGAGTGAGTTTTGTACCAGAAGGAAGAAGCTGCTGCTAATAACAGCATCATTTTTGCTACTCTGTCATGTTTTTACTACCAAGGAAGGAGCAATTTCAGCCAAGAGCATGGTTAGCTTATGCAATGCAGGAAACCAGACCACATCTAGGCAACCAAGAAGCAAACATCATCTGCCTGGCTTATGATCATCATTTTGTTTGCTTCTTGTATGAAATCTCAGCTCCATTCAGACACAGTGCAGATTCCACGCTCCTGGAGCTGGTAAGATGTGCAGCCAGTGCAGTAAGTCTTGGATTTAAACACACAGCTCTGCCACCGTCAGCTCTCTTTGCAGCCTTCAGCAAAGGGAAGTTTTCAATGCAGGCCACAGGCAAAGCTCTTCAATATCTGTCAGTGCTGCACGAAATAACCTGAAAATCACTTAATTCCTCCTGCTAGGAGCAAGATTACTCCTAACTTTAAAACGTTGCCTTCAGTGTAAACAGTCCATGTAAGCCATTAAATGTCTGGAAAGGGTTCCTTGTTTTAAATGTTACAGGATTTAACAATTATAAACACATGCAAACTACCAGATAAATAACACATTAAAAATGACCCAGTTTAATCCTGCTCCCCTCTTCCTCCCATTACTCCTGTTCTTCTGACTAAGGTTTCATAGAAATCCCTTGCAATCGCCTGCACCAGGACACATACATCCAGCTGCAGACGAAAACCTTGATGAATTCAGTGCTAATCCCACCACGCTCCACAGGATTTATTTATACCGCAGCAGAAAACCTTCACTGCTTTTGGCACTTTTCCCTGTCTTTAGCTTAGATGACAAAGGGAAACTCAGTTCATGGGGAAAAACCAACCAAAACAGATTCATTTCTGCAGGGGTTTGGGCAGGGCTGGGGTTTTCTGCTGAGCGTTCCAGCCCTGATGAAATACAGGGCAAGGATGCCCCTCAGCAGGAGGCAGCTTTAGCAATAGAAGTGAAAGGATGTGATTTACCTCTTGACAATCCTGGAGGAACTTCTGGAGATCCCTGTTATCCTTCAGCCTCATCAGAAGCTCACTGGCTGCTTCACGGTTCTTCCTATGCCTAGTCAAAAAAAGCAGAGAAAACCACTTTGAAACAGGCATTGCATGCACAACTGGTACTGGTTGGTTGCTGTAGCCCCTTTGGGATACATGGAATGGTTTGGGTTGGAAGGGACCTTAAAGCTCCTCCAGCTCCAACCCCTGCCACAGGCAGGGACCCCTTCCACTAGAGCAGCTTGCTCCAAGCCCCTGTGTCCAACCTGCCCTTGAACACTGCCAGGGATGGGGCAGCCACAGCTTCTCTGGGCACCCTGTGCCAGCGCCTCAGCACCCTCACAGGGAAGAGCTTCTGCCTAAGAGCTCATCTCAATCTCCCCTCCAAAGCCCTTCTCCAAGATACTGAACACGTATTGTGTGTGTCTTCTGCTGCCTTTCAAATGAAGGATAGTTTGGAAGCTCAGCTGTACATGTGCTATTTAATGGGCTTACTTCAGTTCAGCATCTACTTGCTTTTGTGACCAGTTAAACACACAGAAAACACAGAAGTCTGCAGGGTTCCACAGGGCTATGGTCAGAATCTGCCTCACCGGTGTCAAGACACAGCAGAGTTCAGACCCTTTGCCAAAACCCATACGATAAACGACCTGAAGATTGCAGCAATAAGCTCACACATTACGTGGCTCCTGCACAGTGGGTGCTTGCTGCAATACTCTTTGTAATAGAGCTCTGCCATAGCTCGCAACTTGCTCTCCCGAACAAAGCAGGAGTGGTTCAGCCAGCCTTCCAAATGCTCTGTTTAACAAACAGGGCCTGGGTGTTGCTGCAAACAGAAGCTTTACGCACACTGGAACCTATTTTTCCGTGTTTAAGAGCAGACAGAAGGAAAGAACAGGCCAGCCCAGACACCCTGCTTTTAATTCCTTTTACCCCTGAAGGATGAGTTGTGCTGCCCATTCCCAAAGGTCCTGGTGGGATCTTCAAAGGGAACAGTGCTTGAAGAGCTCATTCCCAAGGTACCTCTGAACATGGTTTTAATTCGTGCTTAGTTTGGAGCAGTTATCCCCTTCCTTCAGTACTTGCATTATTTATGAGGCGACTGAGATGGAGGAGGCGGAATAAAGGAGGAGATGGGTGTTATTTACTGCTCATTGTGTAAATCTGTTCATATTTCACTGGGCAGGGTCTTACAGTGAAATACTGCTGCTCTTTGCAATGGCCTAAGACAAACAGGGACAGAGAGTTGGAAATTGTTTTAAAGGGTGGCAATTTATAAGATGATCTCAGCACAAGCTGGCGAGAGCTCAATAAATCCATGGGAGTGAAACCTCTGGGGACCCAGGGTAGTCTCAATGACTATAAATTACATGTTGATGACAAGGACCGGATTAAGAGACCACTCTTGCTGATCTACGCTAAGTTACCAAAGCAAGCTCCCTGGCATGGATTTAGTGACTTCAGAAACATAAGGAAGGCTTAGGGATATGTTTTACACAGAAGCCAAAGGACTGTAGGCAGAGGAATAGGAGAAAACCCTTTAGAGGATACAAATTGCTTCTCTTTTGTCTCAACAGCTTCCTCTGAATAAGTAGAGGCAAACAGCATCTATACAGCTGTAGGTCAAGAAGATGAATTTACAGATCAGATGGCAAGGAAGACACAGGTACCCATCAAAGGAAGAGGCTGCAGTCCAAGGCCAGGTAATCTGAAGTTTAATCAGGTGTTATCTGAGAGAGCACAAAGAAAAGGACACACAGATTGTGCCTTAGGAAAAAGCCCTCTAACACAGCTAACGCCACTGGGTTTGATGCCTCTATTCTTGGCTGGTTTTTATATGCCTGGGCAAATCCAGGGCATTACTCAGGTTGCTAAAATGAAGGAAGGAATTGCTTGGGTGATTTTATCATGATGAGTTCATAGATTGAAGGCCAGATTACGTTATAGACTCATGTAGTCCAGAGGGAACATGAGCTATGCAGTTCAAAGGAGAATTTTCCTGACTCTTGTTTGAATAGAGCTCAAAGTAGAGAAGTTCTTCTGCTGGGAAAGTAACAAAATTAGCTCCCAGAGAGTGCTGGAAATACTAAATCCAAGAAGTTTGAAGGGAAATCAAGCAGGGCATCAAAGAGAGGATGACACTGCTTTTCTTTCAGTCCTCGGCATAACAAATGCAATCTTTGCTCTTAGAGCTGTTTAACTGTAAAAGGTCGGTTGGTTGTCCAAGGCAACCTGGAGTGAGACTGGCAGATGAGGAAGAACAGGGCTGAACTGTAACAAGGTTTAAAGTGGATGCTTGAAGATGTGGTTGCAGTGTTTTGAGGATGGACGCTGCTGGAACAGGCAGGAATCCCTGTATTTCATCACAGAATTGATGGGAATAAAGGGCCTCAAGAAGTCACTTGGTCTGTTCTCCTGCCCCAGACTGGCTGTAACCAAACATGACTAATTCCTCGTTCATGTTTCCCTAAATCCTTTAAAAGCTCCAAGGCCAGGTTGGACACAGGGGCTTGGAGCACCCTGCTCTAGTGGAAGGTGTCCCTGCCCGTGGCAGGGATTGGAGCAGGATGAGCTTTAAGGTCCCTTCAGCACAAACCAACCTGGGATTCTATGACAGGGATTTTACTGTGCATAACTCCCCCTACCACCAGAAAGCTTTCCCTACCCTTTACTACCAGCAGTGTGTCAGAAGGGCTTTAGGTAGAATAAGGTTTGCCCAATGTTCCCATGCTGTCCCCTGGAGGCCCCCGGGTGCTAACCAGGCTGGAAGCTGACAGCATCACTTGCGGTTTAACTGTAAACCTGTGGGTTTCCAGGCTGGTGCAGGGGTAATGAATCTTACACATAGTGTGACTGTAACTGCCTGCTGAGAACACTGAGATACAGGCAAGGCAGCTTTACCTTCTTTAGCTGCTCCAGCAAACCAGAGGCACACTCTGCTCTCTGAATGGGCAAGAACAAAACTGACCTCTGTCCTCTGCTGAGCAGGAAGCTGCACAGATGCAGTTGGTGAAGGCCCAGGTCACAATGTGAGTCACATCTACCACTGCCTTTAAACCAAATCTCAACTGCAGAATCAGAGAAGCCCTATGTAGGCCCGCAGCCCCCTTACACTGCTCCAAGAGAAAATGGAGGAGGAAAAGCTTCCCTTCTGGCTGGTAGAAACCACAGCAGAAGTCAGCAAAGCAGGGACAGCAGCATCAGGCAGACCAGCTCCTTTCCTAGCTGGAAAAGCTAGTAGTGATAGCTTTATTCAACCCCATCCTCTCCCTTCCTCCCCTTCTCCATGTCCTTATTCCCATTCATTCTTCCCTGTGAACGGCACTAAAAGATTGTGTTCCTACTCCACTCTGCTTCTGCACTCTCTGTCCTCAGCCTGATGCGCTCTCGCAGCAAAGAGCTTCTGCATAGGGTCTAACCTAAGTCTCCTCTGTTTCAGTTTGAACCCATCACCCCTTGTCCTGTCACTACAGTCCCTGATGAAGAGTCCCTCTCCAGTATCCTTGTAGACCCCTTCAGACACTGGTAGCTGCTCTGAGGTCTCCACGCAGCTTCTCTTCTCCAGGCTGAACAGCCCAAATCTTCTCAGCCTGTCTCCCTACAGGATATGTACGTGTGTGTGTGTATATATATATATATGTATATATGGTTTGCTCCGGAGTAATAACTTGACAAGTTCAGGGCAGTACTTGGGTATTTGTCCATTGACAAGTAACCAGTTTTGCAGAGATAGGCAATTCCCAGATGGAGAAATTCTGTGGGTGAGATTCAGTGAAAGAAGGTTTTGAGATGTCTCTGATGTTGGCTTTACAAGAGACTTTCAGCTCATGTTTCTGTCTCTGATATGGTTTAAAGAACCCCAACTTTCAACAGTTTCTCTCCTAACATTTTCCTTCTCTTTCATGTTGCCTGAACTACAGGATCAGCTCAAGCCTGTCCTACCTTGGCTTTCTGCAGCTTCGTTACTTAGGTGTAAGAGTTAATGGTTGGACTTGATGATCTTAAAGGTCTTTTCCAACCTAGTTGATTCTATGATTCTTAATCTGTTTAGATGGTGACCATTTCAGGGCAGGGTCTCCCTGCTCTACCAATGGACAGTGGGGTCTGCTCTGGAATAGCTTGAAAGCATCTGAAAACCAGGATTAACAATGCTCAGCACTACAAAGAACCCCGTATGGGAAGCATGGAGCCGCTGCACATACTTGTGCTTGTTTGTTTTGCTCCTTTGTTAAGCATCCAGGTGGAGCTTGGTTGGGAGAGCAGTTTTGTGTAAACCCAAAGAGGCTTCCTCTGCTACCACTCCCATTGCACCCAGCCCTAAGGCTTTGTTCTGGAGGCTTATCAGCCCCACAGACTGGGAGAGCCATCACAGGGATTTCCTGAAGAGCAGCACACCGGATGGCTCCTGCAGAGCTCCGCATAAATAGCTTTGGAATTGAGGAAATACACTGGAAATAGCAGTAGGCTTTAATAAACTCCAGCCTCTAGGACTTGCCTCCATTCAGAGGAGGAACCTCCAGCACGTGGCCCACAGGCAGCACAGCCCAGGTGGCCAGCTGGGATGCATGGGACAATGGGGACATTGAGGAGTAGCTGCACTAGGGGAAACAGTCACTAGAGCATCACAGCCCTGCAGCAGGGTGGAGGCTGAAGCTGCCCCCAGGAAGGGCTGCAAGAAGCAGCTGATCATTTGCTACTGCATCCTTGGATGCTGTCTTCTAATATTCCGGAAGTTGCAGAAAGAAGACACATGCTCAGAAGGCCAGGATCAAGTCCTCCTGCTTTCCTAAGCGGATGGGAAAACTTACAGCAGAGGACATTGAAAGTCAGGGGGTAGATAAGGAAAATTGATTTCCCAGCTTTCCCCTTGACTGTTCTCACATAACCTCTTCCTGGCCTGTGCAGATTGTCTTTGGGATCTAAAAAGAGTCAAGCTGGTTAAAGAGAGAATGAAAACCTAGGGTATAGAATCATAGAATAGTTAGGATTGGAAAGGACCCTAAGATCATCAAGTTCCAACCCCCCTGCCATGGGCAGGGACACCTCACACTATCACACTCACACCTCACACTATCCTTTGGGTCAGGTTGTCAGGGGGCTCAAAGGCCCTCAGCAAGCTCTGTGAATGGGAACATCCACCTCTCCTGAAGCCATGAGGCACAGCTGAGGTGGGTGCATAGACAGAGAGACACCAAAACAGGAAAGGCACATCATCTTCTGACCTGCTCCAGTTCACCTTCTCCTTGGAGATAAAGGCATCTGGATAACCCTGAGCCTAGCAGCTGTGGGAGGATGCACGCCTGAGAGAAGGGTGCTCAGTAACATCTGACATGAAAGTTTGTATGAGCTTACTGCTGTGTTCTGATACTCGTGGTTGAAAAGCACACTGAAAGACTCCACTGTTATTCAAACCCAAAGCCGAAAGAGCCATGAATCAGAGCCATCCAACCCGAACATTTGGTTTTCAAAGAAAAAGGAACACTTAATGCTCTATTACATCCATGCCACAGCTACAGAGACAAAGCAAAAGACTTGTTCTGGGATGAAAGACACATTTGTACCAGGGCTTCCTAATCTGATCTCAGAAGGGCCAGACAAGCTGGAAGGATCAAAGCCAGGCGGGTGGGGTGGATCCAATGCCAATTCCACTCTTGAAGAGCCACATTCCTTCCTCAGAGGACAGGCAGGAATACAGCGTTCTAATGAAATCAGCCAGGAGGTAGCAGAGGAAAACTAAGACTTGTGGAACCAGACAGAGCAAACTGCTGCAGCTCCCACCGTAACATAACGTCTGTGAATACTCCAAGAGCAATGCTCCTATAGCCAAATTCGGGGTAGTGAGCTCATTACCATGGAAGTCTCTGGAAAATGGGAGAGGTAAAAGTTCACTGAGATTAGCCTGGCACATTTTTGAACCATTACAATTCCTATTTTTCCACAGGACAAAGAAAACAGCCTGCAACAGGCATTTTCCAACACGTTGCTTTGCCTTTGGAGTCTGGTAAAAGGTCAGCTCTCAGGGAACAGCATTAAAGCCTGAGCAGACACATCTTACCAGCATTCCCACCTTACCTGTCATCAATAGAGTCCACTTTCTCCTGGATTTTATCCGAGTTGATGTTCCCATCACTAACCAGCCTCCTGCCAGTCTCTACAACTGCATTGATCTTTTCTTCATTGGCATCCATCGTGGTCATGAAATCCTCCTGCTTCTTGATAGCAGCTTCTGCTCCTTCCAAGGTAGTGGGCATTTCTGTGTGGGCCAAAACGTACTCCTGTGGTTAAAGCATAAAGCAGAGAGAGAACAGGATTACACTCGGGATGGGTTTTCTGCTCCAACAACAGATTCACCACACGTGAAAAGAAACATCTCCTAAGAGGTAAAAAAGCAAAGTCTAGCTTAAAAAGGGCAATTTATCTGTTTGCAGCTTTCCTGCCAAGCGAACTTGTTTGGTTTTTACTTGCAGTATATGGTGCTAACGTGGCAAATGTAATAGGTGTATCTGGACCACTTGCCTGGTTGTTAAGAAATGCTTCTGCTTGCTTGGTGTCTCTGAGAAACAGCTGGTAGGCATGAGACTGGGACAGGAGATTCTGCCTGTTCTCCCACATCTTGTGGAGCTCATTCCAGCCAGTGTCCAAAGCCTGCAGGCGCTGGCGCAAGAACATGTACTGAGCATCAGTCTGCCCCTGGGTCACCATCTCCCCCATGTCCCTCATTTTCTGATAATCCTCCTCGTAATTGTTGATTTCATTCTTAATATTCTCATGCTGAGTGAGCAGCTTCTCCGCCTCCGTCAGTGTGTTCGGCATGTCTTCGGATGCGATCGCGGTCTGGGTTCTGGACAGCCAGGACTGGAAGTCATCCAGATCCCTCAGGAACTGCTGCAGTTTGCTTGCTTCTCCGAGGGACTCTTCCCGGTTCTTAAGGGTGGTCTTCATTTCTTCCCATACATCGTTGATCTCTGCAAGCCGTGAGAGAATGGCCTGGGCCTGGTCGGGGTGCTCTGATTCCAGCTTTTCCGCCTCTTTCTGCAGGTCACTGAGCTTGGCTTCGATGGCCACCAGGTCACGTTCCATGCCCGTCAGCTTCCTCTGCAGGGCCATCACCCCAGCTAGATCGTTACCCAGATCCTGTGTGGATTCGATCACTTTGGTCTTTTCCCTGATCCAGGATTTGGTTTCATTACATTCGAGGTGGTAGTTCTGGATACTCAGAGCAGAGAGCAGAGCATCCTTCTTCCTGTCTACCAGTTCTCTGAACTGGCTCCATCTGCAATTGTGAGGAGAGAAAAGCAGAGGCATTGAGGTTTGTGTATAATAAACACATTGATGTTGCTGAGCAGGCAGTTGCTCACATTAGCCATGAAATAACCTTATTCATAGCTTTTCAGTCCCTCCCATATCATCAACAGAAAACAACCATTAACCGAACCATGGTGTATATTAGAATACAACAAGCACCAGCAACACTGAGTCCTTAAAAAGTATAATTCTTCCTCAAGTGAAAAGTTGCTCATTTTCACCCTAAATGGTGCATCTCATTTTCACCCTAAGTGTGCTCTCCTGGTTTATTTTGAAGCCAAGAAAATGAGTTTACATGAAATTACACTGGTTTCTTATAATAGCCATCAGAGTGAATTCCCAGCTCTCAAACCACTCAGGACCTGATTGAAGTCAAGAGCAAAACTCCACCTATTAATCGGATATTCGAAAGACACAGCTCTCTCTCCTTCTGAAGCTTTGAACACTTACCTTGAATATACTTCAGGTAACAGTATCAGAGTGTCTTTGAAAACACATCTAAGAAGCAGAAATGACCCCACTGTCCTTGTTTCAGCCGGTGTCCTGCTCATGAGCACGAGGCCTTAACTCACCTCGTGTTGAGCTTGTCTTGCTGTGCTTTGATCTCCTTCTCGCTCGGGTGGCCGCTGTGCATTAGCTGTCTAGCAATCTGGTTCACCACTGCCACACGGGATGCCTGGTTGTTCATCTCTGGTTCTAAGCTTTCAAATCTGAGAGGGGAGGGAAAAAAACCAAACAATGAATGATCACACAGAGAACCTGAGCCACGGGCAGCTGGTGTAAAGAGCTTCCACTCAGTATTCCCCAAGCTTCCTGCTGAAGACATTCTCACCTGTGCTGGATCACTTCCAGGTCCTCCAGCTTCTCTGGAATCTGCATGTTATTCAGCCACTTCTCCTTTTCGTCAATCCAGAGCTCACAAGCATCTGCCTCGCTGAACATCTTATACAGAGCCAGGGTATCCTGCAGGGCCTGTTTCCGCAGCCGAGTCAGCTCAGCAACTTCCTTGTACCTTTCCTCTATTCCAGACAATCTGCCTTGGACATCTGGAGAGTCGGCGTGTTCCTGTGGCAGAGCCTTCGCCTGCTCATGAAGAGAGTCAATGGTTGGCCGGTAGCTTGCAATCTCTTCAGCCACATCTTTGTGTTTCTTGACCAAGGACTGGGTGGAATATTCATCGTGGCCAACATCATTGCTGGAGACAATCTTGAGGATGTCCAACATCCATGCATCAATATCATCAGCGTCAGCCTGGAACTGGTGAAGGAGAGAGGCTTCCTCCAGACGCTTCTTCCTAATGGCAGATAACTGTTCCAAGTTAGCCCACTGCTCCCGGATATCCTTAATTCTTTCTCTGATCTTCTCAGACCCAAAATGCTCCTCCGCGATCATGTCTTCACCTTCTTTGATCGCCTGCTGGAAGTGGCCACTACGGCCACTCATTTCGTCTTCAAACGCCTTATGCTTACTCAAGAGACGGACAACACTGGTGAGGTCCTTCCCATAGTCATCAGATGAGAGGATCTGCTCCTTCTCCCTGATCCAACCTTCTTCTTCAGCCATTTCCCAGAAGAACTTCCAGAGGCGCCGGGACTCCTCCAAGCGTGCCCTGCGCTCGGCCGCGAGCTGGCACAGCTCTTGGTAACAGAACTCCATGTGAGCCACACGGTCCCGGATCACCTGTGGGTCACACGGCTTGTAACCTGGTCGGATGGGGAACGTACGTTACAACTTGGACTATTCAAGCTCCACCATACAAAAACACACATCAGAAAATACCGTGCAATACTGCTTGTTGCATGAAGACAATAAGAAACCCCAAAGGAAAGACATTCAGGACTGTTTGCAGTGAAACAAAATTCACTGCTCCAGGTTTACACACACCTGCACAAAATGACCATTTATCCTAGCTAATGGCCCTGGTTTACTGGAATTTCTTATGTTTAGCATAAACTGGGACAATCCCAGATTAGGTCGAATAACCCGTATGGTTTATATTAGAAACACAGAATGGAGAATTAATGGTGACTACTACAAAGTTACACCAGCTGCTGGTTCGGAGCGTGACATCCCAGGCACCACACAATGCAACAATAAATTCTTGAGCAGGTACAGGGCAAATTAATCATTGACACAATAAAGAAGGCACAAAGGAAGCTGGAATGTCCTCTGGTGCTGATTGAACCTAACGTGCCTTGCAGAACTAATGAGGCTTAGAGATAAGCTCCTACGTAATTAAGACAAAGGAGGATGCGTTGGCTGCTGGTTACCTTCTCCATCAGTGGCAAACTTCTGAGCAGATGCATTGACCCCTCTCACTCTCTCAGCCTGGATTGCAATGTCAGCTTCCACCAGAGCATGCTTCTGTAGCAGGTCTTCAACTCCTAACAAGTGTTTGCCATAGTCTTGAGACAGCAGAAGCACCTGATGGAAACAGAAGAGACAAGTAAAATGGGCTGAAGGCCAGAAGCTGCTTCTTAATGACTCCACGCACTACCCTGTTCTCTGCTGTGACAGTAAATGCAGAGAAACACCAGGCCCATAAAGAGAACTATTGCAGATGTGCAGAGACATGGCTGATTGACAGGAATTTGAGCCAATGTTTTTAAGATCATTGGCACCCATGAAGAACTTGACTGCTCTTCAATGCAGTTTTCAGTCTAGGATGACATGGAGCTAAGTTAGCTCAGCAGGACCATCGAAAAGCACTCAGGCCAGGTGCTGTGAGCTGCCACTGAGCTGCACACATCTTTCTTTCCTCCAACAGCTTCCAAGTTCTGCTGGCCGATGGACAGGAACAAAGTCATGGTCCTTTCCCTTCCCAGCTCCCAGGAGAACAGACAGGAAGAAATGCATGCTTTTTAAAGCACAGAGGTGAGGAGGTGACTTGTTCCCCATGTAAATTGTGATGGAGAGAGATGATTTCGTTCCCTTTCAACCAAAATTGTCCTCCTTACCCAAGCGCTGTGACCGAAGCCTCTGACCCTTATGGGACAGGCTTGAGGCTAAAAAGTAGCTCTTTATAGGAGTGAACTTGCTCTTTTTCCTTACTTGTTTTTAATCTCTACTTTAGAAAATCCTCAGAAGGTATAAGGAATTTGTTCTCTGCTCCTGACTGTGGATCTTCTGCACTTGTCTATTAAATCAGAGGGGTAAAATGAACCTTAACTGATTTACCATCTACACCTTTCCAGAGCATTTGATCCACGTTTTGACACCCACCTTCATCTCATCCATCCAGTCCATAATGTACAGCATTTCCTGGAATATCTTTTGCAGACCAAGGTTCATCTCCAGGCGCTGTCTCCGTGCCCGGAGCAGCTCCAGGAGATACTCCCAGAGGCGGATAACGTTGTCCTTCCTCGCAGTAATGCGTTTAATATCATGGTAGTTTTCAGTCTCAAGCTCCTTTGCAACTGCAACCACGGCCTGGACTCGTTCTTCATATGCTGCAATATCAGTTTCAATGGCCTCGTGCTTCTTTGTTGCAGCTTCTACTGCTGGGAGGTCGAAGCCAAAATTATCCTGTAAAGACAGAGACACTTCTTCAGTGATGGCTGCTGAGGAGATAACCCCTACTGGCAAACTCCAACTTGATTCCTGGTGGGGCAGAATACACTCATCAGCAAATCTGGGACCTCAAAATGCTCCGAAAAGCCTTCTTTAATAAAATACAAGAGATCTCCGATAACCAGAGAACCACTGACACAATCAGGGATATCACTTACTGCCTCTGAGGGAAGACTCATGGTGGCCATCAGGATTAGGATGGGCCTTTGGGGGTTTTTTGAAGTAATCTCTAATATTGAAAGATAAAATTGAATCCTGGGCTAATTCCACTGAATTGGCCACAATATTCAGATAAAGAAAATCTTGACTGTGGGTAGGTATTTCCACATCAGTATCCCTTGAGTACAGCCTGACAGATTCAAGGAACGTACATCCAAACGCATTAAAGATAGGATACAAGGTATGTGCACTAAATACACATCTGCACACGCGTACATATACACAGATTGAGTAAAACAGGAGGTATAGGGGAGGACATGGCCTCTTGGCGAGCTCTGGATCCTATAATTACTGCTGGGAACCATGTGAGTCACGCAGTGAACGCAGCACCTGAGAGACGAGCCGCTGGTTCTCGCTCAGCCACGTCTCCCTCATAGCTGCCTTGCGATCAAATCTGCGCGCGAGCTGTTCCAGTTTCTCCTGTCGGATGAGCTCGTTCCGCAGTGCCAGTTCTCTTTCATGTTCAGCTTTTTCCAGTCTCTCCCAGGCCTGAAGACATGAAGGGGAAAACACGCACCTTCTGAACACACGTTCTGATCGGAATATGATAAATCCCAGCCGCTTTGCATGGAATCGGGACTGAAGCCGCTCCAGCCAAGCTTCACTACACTGCTTATTTAGGTATATGCCAACCAACCTGGTTTGCTCTGGCTGGGGTTTGCTAATGTAAGAGTATGACTTGAGATCAGCTCTCCATTCATTGCTTTTCTGAGCAAGGGATAGAGGACTTGTTTATCTCATACGTTTTCTTGAGTTCACCTGGGTTTTGCCTCCAACAAAGCCTGAGCAAGCCCAGCTTAAATGTGTGAGCGAGTATTTATTAAAGGAACAAAATCTCCTGAGTGCTGCTCCTAAATAAGCAGATTCTGCCCCCCACCCTTTAGGAAATGGGAGTTACAGCTTGGTGTCCTCTCACCTCTAAAATCAACACACAATTGTTGTTCCTTACTACATCCACTAGGGAAAAAGCCCCACAACTGCAGAATTTGGTTACTTTTGGTGCATACAAGCCCTTTTCCACCCAAAGCCCCAAGCTATTCACATGTGTGACATGAGTATTATAGAAGTCTTAGAAGCCTGTTGAAAGCCAGCTAGTGACCTTTCAGATCATCTTACAAGCAACAAATATGCCCATAATTAAACACAAACTACCCCAGATTCCCCTAATTCCTAACAGATGTGGAACTGCCTAAACCCAAGTATTCCTAATAGCCAGGAGCATGGAGGAGCAAGGCAGGACCATGAGATCTTGGCTAGAGTGACTGAGCATCTTTCCAGCACAGAAGATCTGAGGATACCCACGTTTAGATTAGGGAGTCCAAGCTATAGGAAAAGGTCAACAGCCCCTTATGTCCCCATATTGAGACTGGAGACAGCGAATGTGTTTCTTCCCAGTATGCTGAGAGAGAGACTGAAAGGAAGCAAATCCTGAGTTGCACAGGAGGAGCTGGCTCCATTTACCTTGTTGATGTCAGAGATGAGCTTGCCCTCCCTTGGCATGTACACTTTCTGGTTGTTGGCTCTCATTTTGCTCTGGATGGTAAACAGCAGCACTTCCAGGTTCCCTTTTTCTGTAAATCTAAACAGAATTTGGCAGGAGAATCGAGTTACAATAAAGCTTTTCACTGCTCCTCAGGTTTAGCAAAGCACTTCTTTCAATGACTGGTGTTATGAATGGAGCACTCAGATAAATACCTTCCTCTTGTGTGAAAGCAACTGAAAAAGCCCCCACATCCCCTGGCACCAGCTGGGTCACAGCAACAGAAAGTTCACAGAAGCCACTTGTCTGTGTTTAGATTTAAAGCCCCTTGGGGGACAGAAGACTGCGTTTTATTTCTCTTCTATTACATGTGCTGTCCCAGCTGACTCTATCAACACATGGAATGGAAGTTTTATTTAAAGCCCACTGCAGTCAGTAAACTCTTCCCACTGTTTTCCCTTGGTTTTATGCCTGGGAAATAAACAAAGCCCATAGGCACTAGGGAATAGCCTGCAGTTTTAGATGTCTGGGTACTCCGTAATGCTTTGGGTTGTGATTATTATCCATTAGAACTCCTATTAGACAAAAACAACAAACAGATCTGATGTCAGAACGCTAAAAAGAGGCTTTCCAGAAACCAGTTGCCCAGCTTTGGCTGTATCAGTTTTAGTAAGCGTAGGGATGTTTTACAAAGCAGACACACTTCCTCTTGATGTTGGATAAGCAGTAAGCTCTTTTAATAGCAGTGCATTGGAATTATACACTGCTAGCAAGCACGACTGGTGATGCTGCTACACTAACATGCTACTACCACTCACACTGTAAGGCAGGCTTAGTCGTGCGAGCTCCCAGGACCCTGAGATCCTGCAGGCTGCGGTTATCTGCCCACTGAACAGCACAAAGCAAAGAGGCCCCAAGCAGCAACGCTTGAGTGCCAATAAGAAACGCGATAGCTGGGTTTCTTCGCACAAATAAACCCTTAAGCCGAGATTAAAGTTACTTGGATGTGTTGGTGCTTTGCAACATCAGCGGCTGACTGAACAAAACCAGGCCACTGGTGCTGTAAGCCAAGACTGAGAATTACTTGGGTGGTTTCTCCACGGTGCGGTAGGTGTTGAACGCCTGGAGCTGCTGCTGCACCCCAACCAGGGAGTTGGCAAACTTGCGATTGTTGAGGATGATGATGGTTTGCTCAATCCACTCAAGGAGGTCCGAAGCCAAAGATTCGTATTTCTCAATCATCTTCTCTGTCTCGATGGCGTTGTCAAGCACCTGCCAGGAGCAGCACAATGTGAGTAACAAGGGCAGCGCTCCTCTGTCATTTCAAGCCAAGCTACAGAAAAGGTTCTGTTGGGAGACTTGATTTATGAATCAGACCGCCCGCTCCTGAGCGCCACAGGGGCTGGGATCCCTGAGGAATGAGGGGTTTGTGTGTTCCAGCCCTGAATTCCCATGAACCCCAGCAACAGAGGCTTACAAAAGGATTCATGTTCAGTCTGCTGGCTGCAAAGACGAGAGCAGCCTCGCCAAAGGGCAGAGAATGAATGCACAGTTTGTAAATGAGGGACTTCTCTGGGCTCCAGAAGAGCCAAGAGGACCCAGAGGGTGAGGAGCAGTTAACGAGAAAGGAAAAGCAGCAATGATGCAAAATGAACAAGCAAAAAGAAAACTCCAGCCAAATGGTTTCTAATACGAGGCAGCTGCAAATTAACTGCTAGCAGTCACATGGGGATGCTTAACATTCAAAACACACTCAAACCCAAAGCCAAAACCTACCATAGAGGGGACTTTAAAAAGCCTAACACCCAAAAGAGGGGAAAATACATAAAATCAGTACTATTTCAACTGTTTCCTCATAATTTTCTATTGGAACTTGCAAACCTTTCCGATACGTTTTCCTTCGACAGCTAAAGCCTTCATCTTGGAGAAGTAGTGGTAATATGTCACCACGTAGGTGATGATTGACTTTTCATCAGGATGGTCAACACTGATATCTGCAACGCAAACAGGAGTCCTCTTAGCAGCTGAGGGTGCAGGGGTTAAAACAACACAGCAAATCGTGCAGCAAGGGCGAGCCACGAGAGGTGGGGTCAGGGGCAGTTCAGCTCCCAGGAGTTCTGTCCTGATCAGAAATAAGCTGGGCAGCTTTGGGCTGGGTCTGGATCACTTGGTGGTGCACAGCACTGTACTCTGCCGTTAGGAAGTGATGCTTTATCCCTCTTAGTGTGGTTACGGCGCATGGCTGTGGGCTGTGGGCCTTTGAGTCAGGCTCCAGGCTTTGCCACAGCTTGTGCATGGCCAAAAACCTCCCTAGTGTCAGCGTGCATTGACAGAACAGAGTTAACTGAGGACTTCGGTGCTGTGTCAGCATTCAGAGAGAGGAATTCAAACCAAAGGGTTTGTCTGTCCGGGCAAATCTGGGAGAAACAGGTGGAAAACAAATTCCTTTCCTGCAGCAATTCAGAGGCACTGGGAAATAAGCAAGAAGCAACTTGCCCAAACACACAGCCCTGGGATGAGAAAGTTTCCTGTCCTAGCACTGGAGCAGCCTTCGATGCACACAGGCTGGAACTCACTGTCAGGCTGTGATAACTCACTGTCAGGAGGTGATAACTGTGTGCTGAATTGACATCATTCACCTCCCAGCTCACAGAAGGTGTTTCTCAGGGTGGATCAGAAGGATGCCTCTAACTGGGATGATTTTGTGTATACACAGCCAGACCAGTGATCTTGCCAGATAGGGCAAAACAAACACAGGATTAAAGGCTCTCCTGCTGCCAGTGCTCAGTCTTCTGCAGGAGACGTCTTCCATTCTCTCCTTCCCTCCCTGGCTGCACAGGTCAGGCAGCGGCATCCTGCTGCTCTTGAACCTAAAAAGCTATCACAAAGCTGTGCCCTGCAACAAGGAGGGGTGGAGAAAAGAGCCCACAAAGAGCTGAAACTGCAGGAATTCTTACCCTCGGGGTCCAGGAGCTTGGTAAGACCAAGGTGTTGCTCGGCGAGGTTAAAAGCATTCTGCAGATTGTAGTGTGCATTTGATTTCTTCAGCTTGTCAAAATCAATCAGATCAGGCCTAGACAGGAGGGAAAATTCTTCAGATTTCCCAAAGCACAACAGATACATGAACCAAGCTCTCCAAACCTCAGAAACGCCCTTGTGCTTGCCCAGTAGCCCCGTGTATTTCAACAGCAGTATTAAAGGGATAAGTAACACCTAGCACATGCCACGGCACAGCCTAACCCATGGAGAGAAACAGGACAGCTTAACAGTGAAGGTGACCCTGGAGAAGAAAGGAACAGAGTTGTGATCACCCAGTCTCTCCTTATGCCCATGTAAGTGTGCAAGCTACCCCAACAACCTCACTGAGCTCGCCAAGGAGCAGCATCCCAGCCACATCAGTCTAGCACCACATGGTTCTATGATTTCTTTCCCCTCCAGGCTGCTGTTGTGTGTGGTTCCCTCCCAACCCTGAACTCTGGCAACCAGACCCATCACTGGTTACCCAACAGGTACAAGAACTTCTCTTCCAGCCTGGTCAGTCACAGACCAAAACAATGATGGGTGTAATTGTCTTGGAACCAAACACAACCGGTTTTGACACGGGATGCTGTTGCCCACACGAGCTCACAGTGACCACAAGAGCTGTAAAAGCCCTAAAGCAAGGCAAGTTGCTGTAAAACTCCCATTAATTCTTCAACTTCCTCCTCTCCATGGACTTCCAAACCAAGCTGCAAAGTAACTGCAAACCCCCATGCACACGGCAGCAGTCCAGGCTTTCAAACCCCAGAAAGACATTTACCCACACGTACCTGTGCTTGTGTATTAGTGCGTTGAAAGCCATCCCATCCCTCCAGCTCGTTGTGAAGTTGTGAATGTTGACGTTGGGGTAACTGATGGGACAAAAAGCAAGGAGAGCACTATTAGTACAGCATCCTCTGTCATTAAAAGCTGATTTCTTACATACAATAAGGAATGGCACCTTTATTGTAAACCCAAGGGTGGGATATCAGCATCTCATGATGGACGATCTATCATCATGACTGTCCTCTCATCAGAGGCTGACTAGAGGCAAGTGTACCTCATCTGCTCTTGTAACCCCCCCAGAGCTGCAATGCATTCCAGACAAAAGCTCTGCATGTCCTTCCAAGCGATCACTTGAAGCTATTACTTTATAACTTGCTGCCCCAGCTGTGAGGTTTCAAATCCCTGCAAGTCTAGAATAATGCTGAAGTGCCCCAAGTCATTACAGGGACATTAAGTTTCCTGGGGAAACATACTGAATGTCTACAAATGGAGATTTAATAATGCAAGAAAGTTGCTGTCAGAGAAAGACACTTTGGAAATATTTCCATAGACATGGAAGGAGGGAAAAGTTGGTGGCAAACATCTGAAGCATCATTATTTCTTCAGAATAGGGTGAAAAAGAGTCAGCATGTTACTATATCTTCATGGATTATGCTTTAGTGGAAGGTGTCCCTGCCCGTGGAAGGGGGTTGGAACTGGACGAGCTTTAAGATCCCTTCCAATCCACACCAGGCTGGGGTTCTATGATTCTATGGCTATCAGCCTGATACGCTCATCCCACAGCATTAATACAATAACTTCAGAGTTTTCTGACTTGTAAGCCTCAATTCGCTTCTCTTGGATGGCTCCACTTCATCACAGATACATGAAATGATTTCAGTGAACTCTCAGAGCGCTCTAAGAGCTTCAGAGAGAATCCCTGAATCCCCACTCACCCGGCTGTCTTCATCTGGCACCACAAAAGCAGAGCATCTTTAGCAGACTTCTTCTCCTTGTTGTCCTCAGTCTCAACACTGATATCTTGGATCTGAAATGAACACAGAGGTTTTATGTATTTCTCTGTGAAAACACAGCTGGCCTGTTTTGAAAAGGTGAAAGGAATTATAGCAGAATACAAGCACCAAAGGAAAGCTATGACGACAGGCAGGGGGAAGAAGGTGAATGCTCTTCCTCATTTAAGAGCATTCAGATCAAAAAGCTTCTGCTGCCCTTATTTTACTGGGGATTACTCTTTGTTTAGGTTATTCCACTGACAGACCAGTTTAACCTTCATGAAGCAAAGTGATTTCCAGCTGTCAAGGCAAACCCTGCCCTGTCCAGCACTATGGGTTCACCCTGCGAGGTGTTTCCTGTGGGAGAGGGGAGTATAACAGCTACCAGTGTCAGCAGCATCACAATTTGCTAGTCCACATTGTAGGCTGTCCTCCAGCTTTTAAAGAGAGGAAAAGGGTTAAAAATAGAGGGAGGAAAAGGAAACCACTTTTTACTTCATGTGGACCAATAGATCTTATTTTATGGATACAGTTCACTGCTTTGTAAAAAGAACACTGTAGCTTCAGTGAAGTGCCACAGGAAGATAGGCAGACACTTTCACGTTAGGAAGACATTGAGCCACACCAACTTTAACAGACTGTTACAGTTATTAGGTATTTATTGCTATGATATTTACTGCCTCCGAGGTCCACAAGAGTGTAGAGGTCTATGAGAGGTTCCTATTGATGAGTAATTTCAAAGTAAACTTATATGACTCCACACAGGAAGCTCCCATTGGATGCTACAGCAGACTGGCAGCATCATGAAGACTAACTTAATCCTAAGGATTAGATTTAGGTGATAGCTGTGAAGGGCCTGGGAGCACTCTGCTCTTCAAAAGCCCAACAAAACACATTACAACCAACCATGGAAAGCCCAAATGTGTGTCCATCTGTGTATGCATACATACACTTCACCCCTGGCAGTGTTCAAGGCCAGGTTGGATGGGGCTTGGAACAACCTGGCCTGGTGGAAGGTGTCCCTGCCCATGGCAGGGGGTAGGAACTGGATGATCTTGAGGTTCTTTCCAACCCAAACCATCCTATGACTCTATGGCATTTACCTGGAATCTCAGGATAATAGTCCAAATAAGGCCAAGCGTCAGCCTGTGATTCCCATCCACAATATCATGGGATCCCATGTTTTCTAAGTGCACTCTTTGCTCTTTCAGGAACTGGAGGGCTTTATCAACATTCTCCAGGCAATGGATGCGCATCCTTCCTTTAGTTGGTTTAGGCTAGAAGGTAAAAGGAAGAAGAAAAGTATGCATTAATGTAGGTGGAAGGGAAAACCCAAAAGTGCTTGATAACGCTTGAGTGCAGGCAGGTGGGTCACCATTATCACCTATCCTCTCCCAGCCAGCAATGCCACGTGCATCCGTTCTTCAAATTCAATGGACAAAACCACTCCTTGCATCTTATGATGCACTCACACAAGGATAACGGCAGCACATGTCAAACCCATGGGGGAAATGCCAGTATCCCAGACCTGAGCCACACACACCAGGAGCCCATTCCATTTGCCTTTCAAAGGGCTTTCCCTGCTTGCTTCCTCCAGTTTTCCTCTCTAGTGCATTCATTCCCTAGCAGGACAGGAAGAGAAATGATTTTGTAAGGCTCATGATGCCACACCTGCTATAGTTTCCCAAGATGCTTTTTTGCCTCCGGTACAAGTTCTCCCACACTTGAAGAGATTCTGCAAGATAGAGATATGAAACAAACTGATAACTGGTGGAGGCAGGCAGCAAAGGGAATTGGTAATGAATGCTCCAGAGTATCTGCAAATGCAGACATGCACTTGTCAAAAAGGCAGCTCAGATCTGGGCTGTAAAAAACTCCTCACCAAACAAATGGCACCGGGTTTTTGTCAGCTGAAGTGGGATAAATCGTGTGAAAATAGCAGAGATTTATTCCAAGGCATTTTAACTTCCTATTTCCTTCTTCATAGGAAAAGAAAGTAAAACCCATAATAATAAATCAGCCACAGCAACAGAGCACAGCTTTATGAAGGTCCAGTGTAAAAAGCCATGAATATATGTTCATATACATTATATAGAGAATATATATATATATTACAGAGTCTGCTGTAAACCCACACGAAGTTGAAGGCACTTTGCTCTGCAGACAAGGATTGCAGCTGAACAGCCTGTTCAGTGCTCAGACCTCCCCAGAGGTACGCAGCCACCTGACCTAACTTCCTTGCTTCCTGCAGTGAATGCAATCAACTGCCCATGGAAATCCTGACTGGGTCCAAGGGGAAGGGTTCAGCCAGAGCCGTGTCATGGTCCCTGCAAACAGCAGCCTGTGGAAGGGTGCTGTGATAGGACAAGGGGTAACGGGTTCAAACTTAAACAGGGCCAGGTTGGACAGAGCCTTGGGTGAGCTGGTTTAGTGTGAGGTGTCCCCGCCCATGGCAGGGGGGTTGGAACTGGATGATCTTAAGGTCCTTTCCAGCCTAACTGTTCTATGATTCTATGAGACGCTTGCCAGAAGGATGCCCTCAGGACACAAACCCCAGAGGTCATCGGTTTCACTTCAGCGTTCGGGTAGCTCAGTTCTCCTCCCACGGCTGGGTCATGATGCAGACAAAGTCAACCTGCAACTCCCAGCAAGGGCAAGAGTTCCCAGGAGCCTGCCACTGCTTTGGGGTCTAAAAGTCCCTCTGGAGAGGCACAGATTCCATGTCCCCATCATGCAGGGTGAGGAGCCATGGTGTGAGCGGGAGCAAGAGTGAGGTTATGTGTTTGGCCAAAACCAACTGGAGATCCATCACTATGGGCAGGGACCCATCCCTGGCAGTGTTCAAGGCCAGGTTGGACACAGGGGCTTGGAGCAAGCTGCTCTAGTGGAAGGTGTCCCTGCCCGTGGCAGGGGCTGGAGCTGGAAGAGCTTTAAGATCCCTTCCAACCCAAACCAGGCTGGGATTCTATGACCTGGCCAAAACAATGTGAGGGACCCCAAGAAGACCAAAGGTTCCATTTCTGTGTCGTGTCCCCCCGCCCAGTTTAACCCACTGCCTTGCAGCAAAATGAGGAAGGAGCACCCGCAGCACGCAAGGTGTGGCTGTGCCTGCCACGCTGTCCTGCACAGCCTCACAATGAGTAAACCCTCACATTTACTGGGCTAACACAGATCCCGGCATCAACCAGAGGAAAAATTGTCTTACATCAAAAATCTTCCCTTTTCCAACAGAAAACTCACTGCAGAGAATGGGCTCGGACCGTTCGACCTTGGAGCACCCAGGAATTGTTAGGAATTCACTAATCCTTTATTTAGCTATGGAAGAAACTGAGCTAAAGGCTTATTAATCTGCTGGAAACAGTTCTGAGCTGTCTGGGACAAGCTGGGTAACAACTTGTGCAAACAAAATCACGACTGACTTTGCATCCTGGCTGGATCCTTTCCCACTTTGCTCAGAGAGACCTCCCCATGCTATCCGTTTCCTTGCAAACACTCTGCTGTGCAGGGAACTCTGTGTAGCAAGGTCTGGCCAAAAGGCTTGGATCGGGACTCAAGCTGAGCAAAGACAGGGAGATGCAGATGTTGCCCCTGCTGGGTGCTCTCCTTCTGGGTTTCTCCAGCAGGTTTTCAAAGGTTCTGGGTTTTCATCCCCAAAAACCACACCAGCCTTTGAGAAGCGCAGGGCTTGTGCAAATGAGGCCGGAGGTCTTGCAAAGGGCAAAGAGCAGCCCTGCTGCCTGGTTCCTAGCCCAGATCCCAGACTCTGCTCCACAGGAATATGGCTCCAGCTTCACTCTGATTCCCAGTTTCAAAAGAGAGAAAACAATTCCTGTTTGTTCTGCTGCAGCAGTGAGCACACCATATTAAAACAGTTATCCAGGCTGCTTCCTGCGTTTGTTTGTTGCTTGCTAACCATTTGATGTTCCGTGTCTTGATTCTGTACAAGAGCCTGCCTTTCGAGCTCTGCTTGGGTGAAGGAGATGTCAGAGCCTCACCAGTACCAGCTAAACTAAATTCCAAAGGGCTGGAGAACACCAGCAAGTGGATGCTACGTGCCAGTCCTCCTGGAATAGTTCTGCTGTGTGTAATAGTCTGCAGGTTTAGTGCGTTGCGTTATCTGCGGTGTGTTTGCAGAGGAAGGTGTGGTGGAATGCACTGTTCAAACAGAGACTGCTGTCCTCCATCCTCAGATAAGGAAGCTACAGGAGGAATTTGTGGCGGCGCAGGCAGCTGCCAGCCCCATACCCAAACCATGATGCAAGACCCAGCATTCTCCCCACCCCAAGGGCTGCGTAAGCCCTGTTTGCATGTTCAGATCCTGGGGAGAAAGATGTCACTGAAACACAGAGAGTCATGGGACTGCCGGGCTGACACTGAAAGCCCAGCCTTGGCGGGCAGATGGGGGGATTCAAACAGAGGTTGAGGATTCAGACAGCAAACATGCCACTAATGGGGCACGTTGGTCTTGCTTATTCATAGAATCCCAGCCTGGTTTGGGTTGGAAGGGACCTGAAAGCTCCTCCAGCTCCAAGCCCTGCCACGGGCAGGGACCCCTTCCACTAGAGCAGCTTGCTCCAAGCCCCTGTGTCCAACCTGGCCTTGAGCACTGCCAGGGATGGGGCAGCCACAGCTTCCCTGGGCACCCTGTGCCAGCGCCTCAGCACCCTCACAGGGAAGAGCTTCTGCCTTATGCCCAACCTAAATGTCCCCTGTTTAAGACTGAACCCATTACCTGTCACTGTGTGAATATATGTAATATACCTGTATGAATAACACCAGCCACCTGCAGCGAACAGCTCAAACCTGACACCTCACTGAAACAAAGGATTTGGCAGAGAAACAGGTTTCGAGCAAACTGGAGCTGGCAAACACTGTGGTTAGACACCTCCATCCACAGATGCCTTCAGGAACACAGGGGACTTCTTTCTACACACGTCAGAGCTTCCTTACCTTCCCAGATGCATTCAGAAAGCTTCCTCTCTTGCCTCACTGTATACACACATGCTGTGGCCCATATGTTCAATTCATTAACCAGAGTCTTAAGCCATGGAGCTCCCATTAATAGGAAGGCTTGATGACAAGCGATTACACTGTCGCATCCTCATGTAGCCTTGGGTCTTAGCTAAAGACCCGTCTGTCTTTGAAAAGATTGCTGTAAATTAGGCAGCTAAGAGCAGAGCCATCATTTAAGGAACTGCAGGAACAGCTGGTACCTGTTCCCTGATACTCAGTTTTTCTCTTGACACCCAGGTTTCCTGTCATGCATCAGCATCTTTCACTACAGGCATTTTCTTACTCATCACCCCCTTGTGCAGGTATCGGGGCTCTCTCAGCATACCCAAAGATAGCATCTGAACCATTTAAATTCAGTTCAGACAGTCCCCTAACCAAGCCTTACCTATCCTAGCAAAATGAGTAACCCAGGAGCACTGCTGGGCAGTCAGGTGCAACACCACAAGGAGAACTCCTCCAAAGGTTCCTTTCTTCCCTGGCAGTGCTCAAGGCAGTGCTCAAGCTGCTCTAGTGGAAGGTGTTCCTGCCCGTGGCAGGGCTTGGAGCTGGAGGAGCTTTCAGGTCCCTTCAACCCAAACCACTCTGTGAGTCTACGATTCCTTTGATTCCCACTGAAACCAATAGGGTGATGCTTTAATGGTGTCTGGATCCAATGGACTTCTTTTGAACCCTCAATACTCAGTTTTGCTGCGGTTCAGTTGAGCCAAGGCTTCACCAAAAACCCACCCAAAACCAGAGCAAAACCCCACAGCGAACATGAGTGAACACTTACAAGTCTCTCCCCCGAGAGCACTTCCAGCAGCTTGATGAGCATCCTTCCATCCCGAAGGTCGGTGTACAGATCCGTAATCCTGCATGACACACGGGCCAGGTGGGAGTTAACCCACTTCGTGAAAGTCTTCTTCTGAACTGCCTCCCGTTCATCTGGTGGGAAAACAATACAGAGTCACTCAAAACGAAGCACACTTCAGGTACCTAGGTGAAAACGTGATGCTCAGACATGGCTTATATGAAAGCTATGGCTTGTCCGAGCACAAACATTGAAGTAATTGGAACTTCTCACTGAAATTCCACCTTCCTTCCCATTTCATGACATTTTCTAGTGTCAGTGGGAGTTCTGTGGAACGCATCTCAAGGGCAGCTTGCAGACTGACTTGCTGCTCGGGTAAGCAGCTTTCTCTACGTGTAAGGAGGTCTGTCGTAGAGCTACACTGTAAAAGCCTGTTAAGACCAAGCAAACTGTCCAGGAATTCATCAGGTGTTGTCTTCCACCGCTGGAAGCACAGCCCGACTTCTGCTCTTGGGTACACACACAAACCCACAGCAGGTCCCCTGAAGTCACCAGAAGTCATCTCGGATTAAGACAGACCCAAAAGAGAGCAGAGAGCAAAGCTTCCCATCTACTTTTCCCCCTTACTCCAATACTTCTGTGCAGGTTCAGCATTGGTAACTGTATTTACGCTATGTCAACATGAACTTCTCCATAACTGCATGTTTCGAGTAGAGCTGCATTATTTAAAGCCATAGACAAATGGGTTCTTTCCACCTTCCCAGTCTTTCACACCTGTTTATACATGAAAACGCTGGCTACAAGAGCTCTACCAATGCACAGCCCCACTAAGGTCCACATCAGTTCAGAACCCTCTATGCAGTGATCTGCCAAGCCATGATCTCTCGGGCAGAAAGTATACATCTGTGTGGTTAAATTCTTCAGCCAAGGGCTTGCGACGGGGCCTTGCTGTGTTAGCAAAAGTCATTTCACTGAGCTGGGAACTGCTGCAGACCAAAGGCGTTAATACCAGGTGCTCACACTTGGACTGACTCAAACGCGGGCTAGGAACGGAAAAGAAGCTGAGGCTGGAGAGGACAGAAGGTTGAGAAACAAGCAAAGGAGACAGTAAGAAATCAGGCAGTAGGAGGGGGGTGAGGAGGAGGAAGAGCACGCCAGCAGTCAGTGGCAGTTTGCCCAATTGCACAAACCCCACCCTACGATTTCAGTTCCTCCCATGCACTTCTGAACACACTCTTGCTACCCATGTGCTAAGACGCAACCAAACCCAAAGCGCTGAAGCTGCCCCGTTTGTAACAGCTTTTACGGACCGACAAGGTGTGAAACGCATGAGTGAGGCTTGGAAAGAGATAAAAGGGAGGGTTGGTGATAAAAGAGATGTGCTTCCACGAGCTGGCAGTTTGCGGTACTCCTGCTGGCCCTCCCTCTGAAGCAGGGGATCGCTGTGACATAGGAAGCGAGCAGGAAGTCAGCAATAACCACAAGGGAATAATAGAAGAATGACAGTCATAAAGAACAGGCAGCACTGTGTGAGCAGAGCACGCAGCTGGTCGCAAAGCCCAAAGCTTGTTGCACCACGGCAACACCAGAACCACAAGCATTATCTCTGCACTCGAGAGCTGCAGCATCTCAGACCCATGCTGCAATTCATACCAGTGGTGCAACAACACAGCTTGTTCTATCTTAGGTCCAAGAAGAGAAAACCCAACGCATCTGACTCGTAGTAATAGTTGTCCATCCAAGGAATGATTTAAATATAGCCTACTAACCTTAAATATGTATCTTCTGCACTATTTATAGCAAGTTCCTGGGAATGCAGCCTCTGCCTGTCTAGTAATCCATGCTTTTTAGTTAAAATATTGCCTTGAAATGAGTCGCAGAAGGAAAACTTTGCAACAGTTGGTGCTTTTCAAAGAGAATTCCAACAGCAACTACCACATCTCCCTTCAGCAGCTTGAACTAGACCCAAAACAGCTCAGCAAGTTTGCTTGTTTAATCGCTGTGGTCTCTATACAGAGGCACAACATTCAGGGATCCCTGTGGTTACCCTCATTCCAAAGAGAAATGTGGATGTACGGGATCCCAAAAATAGAGTTGGAAATAGAGAATGTTTTGTTAAACAGAAAAGCTACCAAATACCATCCCGAAGCCACCCATTAAACAGCCTTTGGTCAGAAGTTGGGGTTATCAACAGCCCTCCCAGCCTGGGCTCACAATGAGAGCAATGGGTGGGGAAAGCACATCCACGTGGTTTTAGTGAACGAAGATGAAGGGTTAGGGCCTAATTCTGAACAGACTGAAGAGGCGATGGGGGAAGCACAGCGAGGTGCCAAGCCAGGGTGCGAAAACTTTGGTGCCGTTGTGGTAACCAGCACCAGCGCAGGATCAAGCTGGTCAAAGGATGTCAACAGGGATCACCCCAGGCAGCCCTTTCAGGAGGGGGGAAATGGGTCCTTCTGACAGCCCAGGGGCACCTACCCAAAAAGGCTGCCCTAGAGAGGCCCTAAAAGAACATGTAAAAGTGTGTTCTTAAAGCAGTGGGATCCAGGGAATGAACCCTGACAGAGTCCCAGTGACTCCTCCTCTTCTGGGCTGCCTCAGCATCCTTACGCACCCTGAATTACCAGGGACCATCTCCCATCCGGCTGGAGGCTCTCAGTGCTCCGGTGCCTGATGCTAGGTGCTGTCACACGTGTTTTCTTCAGCCTGATTCAAGAGCAGGTGCTGCCTCTCCCCTCCTGCCTCCCCTTTCCTCCCCTCTCGCTCTCTGTGGCCCTTGATTTCCTGTTTACAGCAGAGGTTGAAGGGCTCGGGGTGGTTTTTCTGCCTCCGCTCTCGTCTTTGCTCCTCTCACCTGATCCCCACCCATCCTCTGCAGCACCCGCCTCACCCTGCTCACACACCACGGAAACACAGCAGGAGAATCTCAGAGCACAGCTGCCGTGGTTTCACTCACCCAGGAAGGGCCCTGGATCATGCACTTGATGGGGCAAAAGCAGCTCTGATCCCCCACTGACACTACTGGGGACAGGCACAACAGAAGGGAGAACCCCAACGTGGTTTGGGTTGAAGGGACCTTAAAGCTCCTCCGGCTCCAAGCCCTGCCACGGGCAGGGACCCCTTCCACTAGAGCAGCTTGCTCCAAGCCCCTGTGTCCAACCTGCCCTTGAGCACTGCCAGGGATGGGGCAGCCACAGCTTCTCTGGGCACCCTGTGCCAGCGCCTCAGCACCCTCACAGGGAAGAGCTTCTGCCTAAGAGCTCAGCTCAGTCTCCCCTCAGGCAGGTTCAAGCCATTCCCCTTGGCCTGTCCCTCCATCCCTTGTCCCAAGCCCCTCTCCAGCTTTCCTGCAGCCCCTTCAGGCACTGGAGCTGCTCTCAGGTCTCCCCTTCAGGAGCCTTCTCTTCTCCAGGCTGCCCCAGCCCAGCTCTCTCAGCCTGGCTCCAGAGCAGAGCTGCTCCAGCCCTCGCAGCAGCTCCATGGCCTCCCCTGGCCTCGCTCCATCAGCTCCATGACCCAGAGCTGGATGCAGTGCTCCAGGGGGTCTCGCGTAAGGCACAGCCTTTCCTATCCCCACCTCGCTTCACTCCTGTGTTGCTCCCACAGCGTGGGAACACAAACCAAGCCCACTTGGAAAGCGGTGTGACGGGAACTGCGCATGTTAAAACCTCCCCTGAGCATTTCTACACGGTGTTTCACAACAACTGCAGGTTTTTGCAACGCTTTTATCAGCCCTTTCAAACTGATAAACTCTATTTTTCAAGCTCTGGGGTTTCAGGTTAAAACAAGCACAGAATTAAAACCAATGAACTTTTGCTCTCTTGATACCTCACCTGGAGCATTGTGTGCAGTTCTGGTGTCCTCAACATAAAAAGGACATGGAACTGTTGGAACAAGTCCAGAGGAGGCCACGAGGATGCTCAGGGGCTGGAGCACCTCCTGTATGGAGACAGGCTGAGAAAGTTGGGGCTGTTCAGCCTGGAGAAGAGAAGCTGCGTGGAGACCTCAGAGCAGCTTCCAGTATCTGAAGGGGACCTATAGGGATGGTGGGGAGGGACTCTTCATTAGGGACTGTAGTGATAGGACAAGGGGTAACGGGTTCAAACTGAACAAAACTTAAACAGGGGAAGTTTAGATTGGATCTAAGGAGGAAATTCTTTACTGTGAGGGTGGTGAGGCACTGGAATGGGTTGCCCAGGGAGGTTGTGAATGCTCCATCCCTGGCAGTGTTCAAGGCCAGGCTGGTCAGAGCCTTGGGTGCCATGGTTTAGTGGGAGGTGTTCTTGCCCATGGCAGGAGGGTTGGAACTGGATGATCTTTAGGTCCTTTCCAACTCTATTCTATGATTCTATGTTTCAGAAGACACATTTGGCTGGGCACAGAACACAACCGTGACTCTTTCACATGCAGCGCTGTGTAAAAACCCACAGTCTGAGGGCCAGGTGCCTCCATGAGCGATGACACCAGGGATTTAACATCAGCGACAGGCCCCAGAGCGCTATTTCTGGATCTCATGCGATCGTTCTGACAAACGTCCTTCCTCCTCTCAAAAGCCCAGGTTTAGATGGTGAAGATTAACTGAAACCAGAGGGTAAGGGCGGAGCTCGGCGCGTCCTGCAGCTTGTGAAAACATCAGCTTCCCAAGGGTAAAGAGAAATGCGCCCCATGCAAAACATGCCCAGCAGGGAAACGGAAGCTGCGCTGCCGGCGGGATCGATAATGGAGAATCCAACTTATCTTGAGGCAACACTGGGAAGGAAATTTCCTTTCTGCGGAAACCCCCCCCGCCAGTAGCCCCGGCACGGGGAGCCTTGGAAACTGCAGCGCTGTGATTGCGGGACATCACGGAGCCTTTGTTTAGCAGTGCGGTAAATAAACGGGAGCTTGTGCTCTGAATGAGCACAAAGCAGGGGTGGATGGGGGCACCGGCAGGCATCGAGCCCCTCGTCTGCCTGGGGAGAGGCGCTTCTTCCTCCGGGGTGATGAGAAAATAACCTGGCCTAAGTGTAGGTGACTTCCTGAGAGACAGGAGGGTCAGTGGCTGCGTCCCCAGTGTGGGGCAGAAGGAAGGGGTGACACACACCATCCTCCTTGTCCCATCTCAGCTATACCGGTTGGGACAGTGTAACAGTGG